AAAAAATAAAAAATAAAAAAAAAATAAAAATAAAAATATCACCTTGACTCCTAGCTCTATGCCTTTGTACCTTCCAAAAAACCCTCGTCTCCTCTGTGCCAATTCAAATCCTACCTATTTGTAAGGCTCAGTTCAAGTCCTATACCTTCATGAGGCTCTTTCTAATCACTCCAGTGCTCAGAGAGCTTTTACTCTTCTGAATTCCTTTGGTACATGTGTCTGTACTATTTATATGTCACCTAAAAACATACTATCTTCTATTGTTAGTTTTACGTACAATTGTCTTCTTTCTAATAGATTTTACAATGTGCTAATTCCCCATGTATTCTAGCATGGAGATATGTATATAGAAGGAATTCAATAAATACTTTTTTTTTTTTTTTGGTGAGGAAGATCAGCCCTGAGCTAACATCCACGCCAATTCTCCTCTTTTTGCTGAGGAAGGCTAGCCCTGGGCTAACATCTGTGCCCATCTTCCTCCACTTTATATGGGATGCCACCACAGCATGGCCTGACAAGCGGGGCATCGGTGCGCGCCCAGGATCCGAACCCGGGCCGCCAGCAGCGAAGCATGCACACTTAACTGCTACACCCCGGGGCCGGCCCCAATAAATATTTTTTGACTGATTTTTATTTGAGAAGAAACACTAACAACTCATTTATAAAAGAGTTTTCCCCTTCCTCCTGGCTTTTTATAATCAGGGAAAAAAAGAGTGCTAAGGGCAAAATCCATCAATTGAGGGTCTGCTACTTTTATATTTGAGGAGAAAAGAGATCTTTAAATAAAACTTGTTTCTCTCCCACCATTAAATATCTCCTAAAAATCTATCTTCAGGAAGGAATTCTGTATTAATCAGAAGAGCTAGCAATTTTCATACATTCTAAAAATACAAAGTATGGAGTGATCACCTTCCCCATGACCACTAACATTAATAATGATTCAAAATACTTGTTAATGTACACATTGGTTTAATATAGCTACCTACCATCCACATGCCTTATATACATGTTCTCCTAAAAGTATACTGTCTTAGGTAGTTCTTAGAAGACAAAGGCTGCATTTACAGACTTTTTCTTGAGATATTATGCAAAACTGGGTGCTTAATATTTTTTATAACATGAAAAAATTAATCTTGCCTGAACCAACTCCACACACTGGGTTAGAGCTTCCTGTAATATGCTCACATAATACTCCACGCACTGCCTCGCATAGCACATAGCACACCTGTAATCAATTATGTGATAATCTGCTTAACGTCCATCTCCTCACTAGATTGTATGTTTCATTAGGGCAGAAACTTGTCTTTTTCTCTACTACACTCCTCGTGCCTAGCACATGCCTAGCATACAACAGGCACTCAATAAAAATTTGTTGAATTAATAAACTGCAGCAGATGCCCACTTGGAAGGATGATTGGATGTGCCACACGTAATATATACAATTGGTAAAGCGATGAAAAAGAGTTGAGACTGTTGCTAAATTCAGAGGGAGAAGAGGTTAAAGAAGTACAGATGAGAAGAAAAATCATACTGCCTTAAAAAACATTCAGAGGTTAACACAACATAGAGGTGAAAGCAGACTTCAAAAGGACATAATTTCCACGAAAAACAGATGTCAAATATCATTGTCACAGAATTTCCCTGGGACTTTAATGGAGGCTTACTACCTCCCCCCACCAACTACGCAGGATTGACAAAACAGCGCAGTGGGGAGGGAGATACGTACTGGGCGAATGTCTGCTGAGCTCCAGCTCTGGTCTCTCCAGGCTGCTCTGAAAGTCAGGAGGCAGCAGGGAAGCCACTCCCTCAGGATGGATCATCTCGTCCTCCGACTCAGCTGAAGCTTCTGCAAAGCACAGATTGGGTCGGGGCAGGGAGGGAGTGAAGGGCTCAGCATGTGGGAACATGTAGAGGAGTGAAGGAGGTCAGGCAAAGTCACAGATACAGAGTATATACTAAAAAGAGCATTGTACATAGAGAAAAACTCCCTAGGATTAAGCTCTACCTCATCTCAAGGGTAGCTTAATTTACTTATAACTCTTCCTGTTGGCAGGAATCCTCTTCTAACGAGATAGTCCAATTAAGTGTCTTCTTCCCTGACAAAAGGGAAATAGTAACTTACTCGGTTCCATAAACTACCAAAGCAAATAAGTAGCAATCTCAGCCTGACTTATTCCTGAAACTGCCTAGTTAAACAGGCCCATCTACACAGTGACAGGAATAAGAATGAAGAACTCCTTGTAAGAAGAGAAAGTCTGGGGTTACCTTCAAGTTCTGCAGCTTCTCGAGCTTCACGTTCCAGACGCTGCCTAAGTAGCTCCTGCTGCTTTTCCAGATACTGCTTTATGAAACTGTTCTGGCTCATTTCCTCGCCAATCTGTGCAGAGGACATGGGAAAAGAAAGACTAAGAAAGCAAACCAGGAAAATACAAGGGAGAAAATTCCATGGAGCAAAGGTCTACCCTTTATATTTGGACCTAAGAAAGATAATCAAAACGTTGGTAGGCCCTTTTCTAAGCTACTCCTATACTGAGGATCAAAATAAATAGTGCTATGATTCATAAAAGATGGCAAAGAGAGAGACTGCACATAATTTTTTACTTTAAATAATCAGTTCCCAACCAAAGAGTGATGCACTAATAACTTAAAAAGAAATCAAAATTCCTATAAAGTTATGCCTTTTTATCTAAATTTTCAGATAATCTAAAATATTATCTTGGGCCGGCCCCATGGCTTAGCGGTTAAGTGCATGCGCTCTGCTACTGGCGGCCCCAGTTCGGATTCCGGGCACGCACCAACGCACCGCTTCTGCAGCCATGCTGAGGCCGCGTCCCACATACAGCAACTAGAAGGATGTGCAACTATGACATACAAATATCTACTGGGGCTTTGGGGAAGAAAAAAAAAAAAAGGAGGAGGATTGGCAATAGATGTTAGCTCAGAGCCGGTCTTCCTCAGCAAAAAGAGGAGGATTAGCACGGTTGTTAGCTCAGGGCTGATCTCCCTCACCAAAAAAAAAAAAAAAAAAAATTATCTAAAGATAATCTAAATTTTCCTTTAGTTAAATCTTTTAGTAATATCAAAAAATGAAAGGAAACATACTAGTTCATCTTTTGTTGATAGAAAAGATCAATCTTCAACTATCCAGGAAACATTCTGTCAAACATCTCCAAAACTCAAGTTCAGTACTTAAAAGCATGAAAGCAAGAAAACAAGAAAAGGGATGTCCATTCAGCATTTAGAGAGAGTTCTAATTCCATTTTCTTTGGATGAGAAGAAATCCTTGGTAACAATATTTAAAATCCAGGAGCTTAATCCCTTTTCCCATTTTTGTCTGAAACAGACTCTCATGTCACTTTTTCCCCTTCAGCTTTCTCTTACAAGTCTTCCCCCTGAGAACCTTCTTGCTTAGCAAGTCCTATCAGAGCTTCAGAAAAAGAAAAAAAATCTGAATAAATACTTTCTATGTTATGAGTCATCTTTCCTAAGCATGGTAAATGTTTATTTTCACCTAAAGTAGAGATGAGTCTCTTGGTACTCAATGGACATTGATGAAGTGTGGGCTGCTTGTATTAGAGAATATATGTATTTGTTGCAAAAATCCTATGTTAATAAAAGCAAAGCTTCAAAGACTAAAATGCAATGGACAAAAGGAATATAACCATAAACTGTTTAACTTTTGCAGTTTCTTATGCTTGTTAAAGTATTTCACTAAACCTCTGTAAACTGGCTAGATTATGACACTTACAGCTTAATGAGGTGATAACAAGGGAGTAGGAAGGCCCTCTTGCCACAGTATCTTGGGACTTCATCTAGGACTAGAGATGCACACCATTGCACACACAAAGATCTGGACTTTTCCTTTAAGTGCATGACACACTATAATGAGGGGATTTTAAAAGCTGAAAAGAATCTGAAGAGATCACGCAATCTAAGAATTTTAATTTTTTTAAACCGTGGAATGACTTCTTCTAAAAAAAATCTTGCACAAACTCAATATACAAAGCAGATAAAAGTAGATCCAATCTAGTTTAAGAGGAGAGTGTGAACTCCTGCTCACTTGAGAAGGCATCTTCCCTAGGAAGCCCCCAAAAGCAGCTCCACAAAACCCTGACAGAGCAGTTACAAAACTACAGATGTAGTCCAACCTTTTCTCATATTACTTACAGGGAAACTGAGGAAACCAAGGCCTCCAAAGGTTAAGTTTCTTGCCCTAAGTAACAGAGCAATTAATGATATTTAGGAGTAACAGCATAGTTAGTATTAACACTAGTAATGATAGATATTTCCAAAGGATTGAATTCTTGGAAAATCTATGTCAACACAAGAGTTCCTGATCAGCAATTATTTTCCTATACTGCTCTACTGATTGTCTACTTCATATCTTCATTCAAAGACATCAACTACTTTTCCAGAATCAATGGCAAATAAATGACTTCAGATTCCTGTACTACACTTAACTGGAGCCACATCTTTCTGCACACACCATTTCAAGTATCAGAAATTAACTAAAAGCTCCTCTGATTCTGTTCTTGAATTCCTTATTAGAATTAAACTGTCCTGGGGGCTGGCCCTGTGGCATAGTGGTTAAGTTTGTGCGCTCTGCTTTGGGGGCCCAGGGTTTGTAGGTTCGGATCCCAGGTGCAGACCTACACACCACTCATCAAGCCATGCTGTCAGGGTCCCACATGCAAAACAGAGGAAGATTGGCACAGATGTTAGCACAGGGCCAATCTCCCTCACCAAAAAAATAAAATAATTCAACTGTCCTGGCATGAGAACATCTCCAACCCAGGGAATTGAGGAAAATATTGGTGAGGAATTAAGCATCAAACATACAACATCATGTCCTTCCACGTGTCTGTGCACAGAGCCCACCCTATCTAATGAACCTTCTTTCTTACCTGGGAATTTGGCTGGAATGCAGCATGGGGTGTTGAGTGTTTCTGTAAATTTTCTAGCATTAGAGCCTGGTATAGAAAAGGGCAAAAGTCAGAAACAAAGGAAAAAAACCCCACCCCTCCCCCAATCTCTTCATTAAATGCAATGACTAACCATACACACTTAAACTGTACTCCTTTTCCAGGGATCTAAAAGCCCTTTACTAGTACTGTTCTCATTCATCTTCAGAAGACCCTTAAAGGTAGCCATGGTTACTGCTCCCAAGTGTACAGATATAAAATGCAGGCACATAGAGAAAATCAGTGACCTGACTATGTAATAAAATCAGTGACAGTGACAGAACCAGTACTACAATCCCTATTATCTTCTGCCCTTCTGACTAGTGCCCCCTTCTCAATCTGGCCATGCAGGTAAAATCACTTCAAATAGTCAAATCAGCTTCAAATACATGAAACCAACATGGGGCTGCTGATTCTGGCCTGACTGAATTACTTGGTCAGTTACCCAAGACTAGATCTACCTGAGTGAACGCCTATCGTTTCCAACGGAGTGGCACCTAGATTTATCAAATTTATGAAAATTTCAAAGATGAGGCTACAGAACAAAATGACCACAGACTCTATAAACTGTGGTCTGACCCAAACCTCACACACACAAGAAACCATCAGCTTCTGTATAGGCAACGGTCTGCCAACTTAACCCTTGAGCTAACCCAGCCCTAATCTTAACTATGCACCACGTATCCTAATTAACCCTAATTAAAACCAAGATACCATCATCTTCCCTCCGTCTACACCAAACCTATAGAGACACACAAATCCACCCGCCTACCTCAAGATAATCCCACCCTAATCTACTCAAACCGATTCAAACCCCCCAACGTATATCAACCTGCCTCACCTCTCTCACCAATATTCACCAAACTCTTATCCACCCAAATTGCTTCTGGACGCCCTATAAATTATACACCCCTCTAACCAAGTCCCTTCACATCAAGGCTTCTCTTCATCTCACCTCCTAATCTAACCAAGCATTTTCCCCAACCCCAATCCTATGCTTCCGGATACCAACACCAACCCCATCAACCCCTCAGCCCAACCATACCCCTAACTCCGACCCAACCCAACTCGCCCCTCTCAGGCCAGCAACGCCGGTGGTTGTAGTGGGATTTAACTCCTTCTGCAGCGCATGCGCCGAAACCACAGACACAAACAAGGAGCGGGTGGGGGAAGGAGGAAGGAGCTTAAGACACTCCGGGAGAGTAGCGCGCACCCTCCCATTTTGGGCTCGCGCCGCTGCCGTTAAGGCGGGAACCGGCGCTATCTCTATTCCAGCGCGAGCCTCCTCAACCACCGTGCGCGCGGATCCGGAGGCTCGCGCTGGCGGCCTGAGCAAGCTCGCGCTGAGCCCGGACACTGCGCCTGCGCCGCGGCAGAGACTCGTCTCTACCGGGTCCGCTCCCCTCCGACACCCCAGCAACGCCGTCTCCTCACCCCTTTGAGCCGCTTGACCAGGGCACTCTTTTGCCCGCTCTTGGCTAGGCCTCGCTGCTCCAGGGCGGCCTTCAGGTCGGTCACCCGCAGCGCCTGAAGAGGCTTCCCGTCCAGAGTCACCTCCTCCAGCTCCGCCATCTTGCGTGAGGTACTCGGGTCCGTCCCGACGGCTTCGGGCATCTTCGGTAATTTCCGCCAACGCCCTTCGAACGTACTGAGCTGACCCCGCCCACTGCCATAGTCAACCCGTCGATTACCACTCAAAACTCCCCGGGTTCCTCCGGAACTGCTCGGGTGTTTCCGTCTCCACATCGGCACCAATCGGTTCTTTCCATCCTCCCAGCCGCTCCCCCTCCCTCGCCTTGCTTTCAGAGCTCGGTTATCTTCGTCTCACCGAGACTTTGAATCGAATCTATTCGGAAACCCTCGACTCTGGCATAACCATAATCGGAGTTATTCGGCTATCTCCGGACCTAAAGCTGAGGCGCTAAGGCGCTTGGGTGTTTGGGGCTGGCCCGGGGCCGGAAGTGCGTGGGCTGCTCGGCTGGCCCTGCTTAGAGTTGTCAGGAAACATGGAAGCGGCGGCGATAGTTGGAGTCTAAGCACTGTTGTGACGGTGTGCGGGTGCCCTGTGAGAGGAAAGGGGAGGTAAGCGGGGTAGAAGTCCGTCCCTGGGCCGGGTCAGCCTCGGTGTTTCCGGGTTACTCTAGTAAGGCAATCCTCCTGCTGCCCTGCGGAAACAGCTGCCACCTCCCATGCTCTGAATCCCCGCCACTCCCATCTAAGGCTGCTCTTTGCGACCTCCGAATGCCAGGCTCCGTGGCCTCTAAAGGGACAAGTGGCAGCGCCGTGTCTTTGGACCTAGATTGTAAACTAGTTCGTAATCATTGAACTTGAGTTTGCGTGGAAGCCATGTCGCAAGACTCGGGAAAAGTTCTCCCTTTCCCCCGAATAAGAGAATCAAGTTCCTTCAGGAGGAATTGCTTTTTGTAGGGCCACTGTGAAAAAGGCAACCTCCCTGGACTGTTTTGGTACTGAACTGATGTTAATTGCTGGAGGTTCCTTTCTTTGTCGCTACAAATAGTCCAACTTGCAGCAGAAGAAACACAAACAGTAAAATAGCCATAGACAGTAGTTTCAGGTTTTCATTGTTAAAAATTCAAGTTGTGGGACTCGAAAACTATTCAGGTTGGCTGACGGCCCAATTGCATTAGTGATGCAAATCAATGTCAGAGCATCGATAGGTATCATAGTAAACATTAAGGAAAATTGTTCAAAGATATGAATTAGTCATACATCTACAGCAGTATAACACTTGTTAGTCCCTAAGCCACCGAACCAACTAGACTGTTTTTTCAGTCTTGAATCAACACGTGGCTTCTGCTGTTTTTCTTACTGTGTTATCTTATTTTGGGCAAGGCACCCTCACTTACTCTGCTCTTTAATTTTTCCTGCTGCTTTACAGGAAATAATAGGGAAGTAATGGATGTTATGAAGTTCTTGGCGTATTTCAGAGGCTCTTTGCGCATTGCAGAGAAGGCTCTTTCATCATATATGAGGTTTTTTCTTTTTTCCCCCCACTGTTGATAGCTCTGGAATGATTAGCATCTAGGCCCTGACCAGCTGTGTGTACTAGATTTAAACATGTGTACCTTTGTTCATTTTAGGGAAGAGGTGATGGACCAACATTAATCACGGTTTTTTTCTTTACTCAACCTGGAACATAGAAGTGGGCGGGAAAGAATAAGCAAGAAATGTGTTGGTTATTTTTAGATTCTTTATAAGAATGATGGAGGGAAGCAGTGGTTGGGGCGGGTTTGAAAAAGAGAGAGGAAGGTTGGCATATATGAAATAAAGTTATTCTTGGGTGACTTCTCTAAGGTAGTTGGATAATAGTCTAAAGAAGGACCCTGCTGCTTTCCTGTAAGTCAAATTGGTGAAAAGTAATTTTCTCTGTAAATGCTGATTGAGTGTGATAAGATTCTTTGTTGTTGGGAAGTTGTATTTTGGTTGCTCTATTTAGAGAGTACATAACAGTGCTTTTATGTTTCAGGATGTCACTGGAATCATCCTCCTCTTCGATGCCGCTATCCTTTCCTTCTCCCTTGCCCTCGGTACCAGACGGTATTACTAACTCTTCCCCTCCGCCAATGTCTTACATCACTTCCCAGGAGATGAAGTGTATTCTTCACTGGTTTGCCAGTTGGTCAGGCCCCCAGCGTGAACGTTTCCTACAGGACCTGGTAGCTAAGGCAGTGCCAGGAAAACTACAGCCACTGCTGGAAGGTCTGGAGCAGCTTAGTGTGTCTGGAGCAAACCGACCACCTTGTATCTTTGAGTGCCAGCTGCGTCTTTGGGATCAGTGGTTTCGAGGTTGGGCTGAGCAGGAGCGCAATGAATTTGTCAGGCAGCTGGAGGTCAGTGAGCCAGACTTCGTGGCAAAGTTTTACCAAGCAGTGGCTGCTACAGCTGGTAAAGACTGATAGGCATTAAAATCAAAGAAGATAACCATAGCTGGCGGAGCGGAGGCCACAGCTTTACAGTGAGAACTTCAAATGTGTCACTTAAAGGTCTGGGGATGGTATCCCGATCAGCTGACTGAACTCACTGACCAGTACCAGGCCTGGTTATTTCAATGTTAACAGCATATCAACTGGACTTCTAGTGTAAATGTTTTTCATCTAAGCAAATCGAGATCAGCAGTCTGCCTCCTAGCTTGCTTCTTTCCAAGCGATGTCAAACCCTCAAGAATTTAATGGCTTCTTTTGTAATTGTAACCAAAAGGAACCTACACATGATAACTCAAGCCTACTGCTGAACCCATGGGGGTGTAAAGGAAAACCCTCCTCCTCCAGAAACAGGAGAGAAGAGTAATAAAAAGCTGTGTTTTTATAGTTTAGCTGGATTCAGATTGCTGGTTTCACCACCCTTACCAGATTCTGACTTAATTATGTGACATTCAAACCACTAGCTTTCCTAGTGATGATTCAGTAAAATTATGGAAAAATCAGGAGAGGGAGATAATTGGTTACTCCACACTTTCTCCATACTGATGTTTGTTTGAATCCAAATAGCAACGACTTTTTTCTAAAGCATATACAATGTCTTTGGAGCTGGTAGCAGATGTTCCTATTCTGTAAGTTTGCTCTACAACAACATGAAAACAAGTGACACTCTTTACAGGTTAAAGGGTTTATTTTTTGTATCAAAATAAAGAATGAATCTTCAAAACCATAAGTCTCTACCTCTTTTTCATTGCAAGGCTAGTATAAAGTGGATATCCAGAGAAGGGCACTCTGTGAAAAGTAGAACTTAAGTGTAGACAATAGATCAACTTTCCATCCACTTGTCCCCCAAGCAGTAATCTCTACCCTACCCCCGTCACGCTCTGGGTAACATCACACCTCCCTTATTCCTCCAACTGGGCCCCTTGTGCCTTGGAGCTCTGGTGAATGGTAAGGGGCAGATGGTCCCACCTGAAGAGTAGCTCGTTTCTGATAGGCCACTGTTCCCAGTGCACCCACCAGGATAAGCAGCATTAGGCAGAGTCCCATGGACAGACCTAGATGGGTCATGGAGGGATTATGGTCCGAGGTAACCAGAAACCTAGGAACATAGAGATAATATTGGGCCTGGAATAATGCCCAGGCTTAGGAGGTAAAGGGCTTTACCTTTACTATAATACACAGAACTCATGACACCCTGCTGCATTCCAACAGCTAAACAGGAAATTAATAAGAGGGAATATAGAATCTGAAAGTAGGAATAAGACCAAGATGCAAGTCTTCCAGCAACTTAAGTTGTTGGAAGGAGACCTAACTTGGCAGTGAGGGAAGTGGCTTAAGGGAAGAGTTAGACTGTGGTGTTGAGGTCACTGGACATGATGCCTGGGTAGTCCTTAAGAAAGGAAGGGGGCTAGGATCCCTATGGCCTAGCCATGGGGGAACTCCATTATTGTGGGAGGGAGAGGTGGCCCAGAGTGATAGGCTTGAGGTGGTCTTGTTAGTCAGGGATCCTCGTTTTCTGAAATAATAACCCTGTCTAGGACAGTATACATATGGGTGAGTGCTTAATAAATGTAATTTCAAACATCTAGACTCCAGGAATTTGGAAGAAGTCTACCTGGAATATTATCTTACTTGCTGTATTCTGTGGTAAAGCTGGCTCCTCCATAATATACTTCTAGAGGCTGCTTCTGGAGAGTCAGGGTCAGGGTCCTGTGCAGCATACCAACCGAAGGCCCTTGGCAGCCAGGAGACTTCCACATATGCACAGTGAACACCAGGCTAGTGGTAATCGAGGGGCCGTGGAAGTAGCACCTAAGAGGACATTTGGATCTCTTAGTGGAGGGATAGTCCCAGAAGAGTCTACCTCATGAGACAGGCGCAGGCTTAGGTGTGGGATGAACACAAGTCTTCCGAGGACAGTTATGAAGTAAAGAACTTAAGCGTTCTCCCTGGCCCGTTGCATAAATCCTCAGCCTGCCCCATCCCTTTACCTGCCAGTGCCTCCTCTGCTCACCAGAGCCTTTAGGACTGCTTCAGTCAACTCGTCTCGCTCTTCCTTCCCCAGGGAGTGGGCTGGGGGCCCAGCTGATCCTAAAGCCAGCTGGAATACCAGGTCTTGGGTTGAAGGACTCAAAGGTGGGGAAGTAGCAGCATTGGTACCTTCATTAGTCTGACACAGCCGACCCCGAGGACAGAAGAGAAGACCGTGGTACCCAGGTATCTGCAAGGAAACACGGAGCAGGGTATAGTTATAGCCTCAATTGCTTGCTCAAGCCCTCCTAAAGAAACTGTACAATCTAGATCAGAGTCATGGACTCAGTGGGTACTTGGTAAAAAAAATGAGCGTTGAAACAGGGTGGATAGTACCACCGTACGAGCATTTCCACACTTCTCCTTGCCTGCATGGCATGGCTGTTTCACATGTGACACCCACCTGAATAGCCTTTCCTGGAAAGCAGGAGGCCCAGGGTGATCCCTCCACCTGCACTTTGTATGCTCCCCTCTCTGTGCATTGATGTAAGTAGCAGCGGCCAGTGAGCTCTGCTTCCTTTAGGTGTGGGATCTGAGAGGGATGCCTGATCTGGTCCCCTGGGAGCAATTGTGAAGTGAGGTTGGCAAGGAAGCAACGACTCTGGGAATGGTAGATCTCCCCGTGGGGATTCTCTGCCCCAGGTGGGACTCCATTTTCCTTCTTCCAGCATTCACTCTGAAGGGCAGGGCAGAAGGCAGAAGAGTGTTTGTCCAGATGCCGTAGAAGTTGACTCCTCTCCAGGCCCACTCAGTTTCATGCTCTGTTCTCCAGTCTACTCACCCCGTTGGCCAAGGGCTTGAACATGCGGCAGCCTTCCAGCGTGGGGTCTGAGGAGCAGCTTCCCTTGTCCAGGTGCAGGTAGTGGCAGCCCGGCCCACTGTGTGGAAGGGATGTGTGTGTGTGTGGTGTGACACGAGGATCACCGACAGCTGGACAGCCCCTCAACCACTCAGTGCACACACCTGCCAGTACAGAAGAAGTCTGAGGAGCCGGTCCCACAGGTGCTCACCAGGCCAAATTCCAGGCCAGATCCTGCTTGAGAGATAGGAAAAGAGAGAAAGAGCCCTCAGAACAAATGGAGCCCCAACCTCAGCGTCAGCTATGCTTACAGCTTCAGTTACACCTGAGCAGCAGACAATCCTCTCCAACCTCTCTCACTTCCCCCAAGCTGACCTGGGTCCTGAGGGCCCCTCTGCAGTTCCCCCTGATTTCTCACCCTGGCCCCACAACAGCTCCTCGGCAGCGCTGTGGTTGACTTGGTACCAGCCTGAGTCTTCGAAGGCAGCCAGGGTGATTGGGTCGAGTCGAGTGCGCTGGGCACCATCGAAGGTGGCAGTCATCACAGAGCCCTGGAGCAGCCGGGCCTCCCAGTGTGAAGACAACAGGCCCTGCTGGAGGAGGTGGCTGGCTGCCACCCGCTACTCCCTCCTCCTTCCACCCCCCCCCCCGAGGTGTTCTCATTCTCACCTCTTCTTCCAAGGGGACGCCCAGTGAGACCCCTAGTACTCCCAAGTGTTTGGCCAGGCTGTGGCTAACAGTTGGAGTGGTGAGAAGCAGCTGTCCCCACTCGTCTCGCCTTGTCACTTGTTGCCTTGTAGAACAGTTCTCTCTGACTGACTCCAGCAAGGAGAGAAGGCAATACGAGGAGAGGAAAACTTAGGAAGGGTGAGGTAGAATCGGAAGGAAGGAGTTCATGAGACAGTAGTGATCCCCTCTGGTTGACCTGGTAGGAAGACCTCTCCCTCATTCTGTCCTTTACCGCTGGGTCCTGAGGGGCAATCCCGCCACTTCTTGAAGAGCTGTCCAGAGAAACCCAGGGCATGGAGCAATTCATGTAGCGTAGCCTAAGGGCAAATGGCGCAGTGAGGGGGACTGGATTTGCAGCGGGACTGACCAGCCCCTCTGCCCAATCAGCTCTTCTTAGAGCTCAAGGCACCTTCTATTCCATCCTAGGTTTTTCCACTTCATGGGAAGCTGGGTGACCTGCCCCCCTGCCCAACCTGTTTGCTTCTTCCCATTCATCATGCAGCAGTCACCATGACGATGTCACTGTGGCTGAGGCTGGGGCTGGTGAGATGCTGGGCACAGTAGACAACGGTACCAGCAAGGGGCCTGTCTTCTGAGTCCAGCTGGCAGCAGGCAGCATAGGCTATGATAGAGGGCTGAGGATGGGCCAGGACAAGGTGGGGGCGGAAAGGAGGGAAGAGAGGTAACACGGAAGAAATCTTCCTGAAAGAAGAGGCCCAGGGAACTCAGCAGGGGTGGGACCGAGGGATGGCTTGGGGGGTTTTTAGCCCTGACCCAAACTTCATCAGCATGCCTCAAGTTACCCCAAATAAGCACAATTTAATAAAAACTGCTTTTTTGCTCCCTACCCCTTCCCGTGATATTTAAGGTCAAGAGAGGCAGAGCAGGGCAAAGGGATCCCATTTGAACCTCACCTCTCGGTGGCACTTGGAAGTGTGGGCAACCCGCACATACAGGAGGAAATCAGTGTTTGGGACCCCAGGCCCATCTGGTTGGACCAGTTGTGGGGGACCCTGCTCTGGCCACAAGGCATAACCATGGAGATGGGCATCAGGGATCTGGCGGGGAGTGAAATGTAGCATCTAGCTTAGCAGACGGGCTGGGAGATAGGGCAAAAGGACACTGGGTACGAGGAGTGAGGGCAGAGAGTCTCTATCTTTAATCTGCCTTAGTCTCATCTAGGCAGCTGGCTGGAATAAGGGGTCCTCCCCCAACCCAAGTCTCTGATTTAATAAATTGCCAGGGGGAGAGGGGGTTTAGGAATCTGCTTTATCAGGAAGCACGTTAAGTAACTCAGATGCTGGTGGTCGTGGAGAGGTCTAGGCAGCCTCCCCAAGAGGATCCCCAAATCTGAGTAGTTTCTCTCACCTTCGCCCCTAGGCAACTCTCTCCTTTGTACCCGGGGTTCAAGAGGCTGCACCTGCCAAGAACGAATATCTGTGGGTGAGCTGGAGACATTTCTGGGGACCCCTGAAGAGGGACTGTACACATTCCCAATGACATGAACTCACCTGCGGTAGTTTGGGGTATCTGGGTCTCCCCAGACAGCGTGGCAGTACTGTGCAGGGTCTCGACTCAGAAGCAGAGGGCCTCGCACTGGAGGGACTTAACGAGACCAGAAGTCAGTTTCACCTCAACGTCTTAGAGTTCCCGTTCCCCTTCTGTGGTGTCTTCCTCCCTGGCCCTCTGCTCCTCAGCCCTCCCTAACTCCTGTTCCCCCACTCACCTGCTAGGACACCCTGGAGGCGCTGAGCAGCCTCTCTCACTGCGGCCAGGGCTCGGGATCGCCCTCTCATCCCGTCTCCCTCAGGATCCCAAGCTCCATCTGATACAGGATCTCCTATATAGCAGATTTGGATTCGGAGGGGTTGAGGATCCAGGGAGCCAGGGAGGGTGAGGGAGGAAGAGCGGAAGTTTGGGGGAAGTTGGGAGAAAGAGGGCCTGAGAAGGCTGACAGACTTCTGTGTCTCATCATGTAGACATCTGCTCGTGGCAGCCCCCAGGAGCAGCAGCAGCAGCAACATTTTCCTTCCAGGGTCTCTCCAGAGCCTGCCCTGGATCCTTCTTCGGCTCCCTTCACCTTGCCTTCTTACTTCTGCCTTTCCTCCTTACCACCTCTCTCTATATCCCTCCAACACTCGTGCTTTTGTTTTCAAGATTTGAGTGTTGTTGACTAAATCTACAGTTCCTGCCAGGAGGTCGGATGTGAACCACAAGGGCCAAAGCTTTCTCCCTGGGGGGCAGAGATGGGGAGCTGGGGGAGGGGCAGTATTATTCCCGAGGCCTCAACTGACCTTCCCCAAGAGGAGCCTGCCCTGTCCACGGAGGAACTCTCCTAACCCTCTTCCATCTCTCATCTTCACCCCCATGCTGTTGTGAGTGGACAACCTTGGAACCTTCCCAGAACTAAAATATTGGTGTTCACATAATGGTGTGTGTGTGGGGGGCATTCCTTACTTTATAGGTGCCTGGAGGTGAGCAAACAGGGCTTCTGCACTTCACTAGCCTCGTATCGGCGCTGGGTGGACTCTGAACTGCCAGAGGCATCTCCAGCATCTGGGTTGGGCACTTCTTAGGTGCGCAACAAACACTTGTTGGTTGACTGACACTTCTGTGAGAGGCTGTTGTGTTAGCTCTGTGAGGCTTCACAGAAGCCACTTACAGCCTTGCTGTGGAAGGAAAGCAAACTCTTAAAATGGACACTAATAGAAGATGCTCAAAGACGTTCTCACTGAACTCTTGGAACTCCCTTTGTCTTCTTTGCTCACGCCGTGCTTTCGCATCCTGTTTCCCTGCCTGGAAACCCCTCCTTCCCTGCCGGCCTCTCGCTAACTCCTACCTTCCCTGTGATTACTCTGGGAAGCCTTTTTTAACACCTCCTGCCCACATTCCACACCTGCCTGTGCGGAGGGGCCTCTCCCGCTCCTAACACAACACTTATCGTCCTCTATTGTAGTTGTTGGCTTAGTGGCTCTCCCTCCACATCCTGAACTCCTCCAGGGTGAGCTGCTTCCTGGCTGGCTGTGTCCACAGCACTAGGCACAGCCCAGCAGGCCAGTTTGGGGATGAAGGGAGAGAACCCAACCCCATCACTGAACTTTGGAAGAGGCAGGTCAGGGGTGAAGTGACGTAAGGGGGCGATAAAGCCAATTAGTGACAGACAAGGACTAGAGCCTAGAGACGGGCTGCTGACTTCCTAGGAGGGTGGATTTTATACTTTTACCTTCCAGAGCTGTGGCTGGAACTACTGATTACAAGGAAGACATCCAAATTGGGGCCAAACCAACCCTGCTGCTTTCTATCTATGTCACTTTGGCCAAGTGCCTCAGTTTTCCCATTTGCAAAATGGAGATGATTGTACTTACCTGACAGGGTTGTTATGAGGAGCAAGTGAATATCTGTGAAGTGCCAGGAACAGTGTGGTTCATGGTACATACTAGGTAGAGAGGACACATTCTACAGACACTTGAACTCAGTGGAGAGCTAGTCTGTTCTTATCAACATGTGCACAAATCTTCAGGGGACTCTTGTTCTTTTTCTAAGACAAACCCAGTCATTTTCTCCACGCGTCGGCAGCCTTTTTTCCTCCTGGCTTGGCCCGCCCACTGTGGGAACAAAACGTCCTGGTCAGGATTCGTGTGATGGATTCCAGTCTGTCTCTCTCCAGGTTTTCTGGCCGGTGCCTGCAGCCGCTCCTGATGCTTTGCTGCCCTCTTGTGGCCATACTGAGCTAGGGCGAACCCCTGCTGGGGGAGGGGCTCATTCTAATTTCACACATGCGCGCGGAACTTCGTACCTTGTGTTTCTCGTATGCCAATACCTCTCTCCCGCCTTTGCCTAGCAAATTCTACCTCATCTTTCAAGATCCAGCTGAGGGGTTATCTGCCTGCTGAGACTTTTCTTTACTTAAGTTTGCGCGCTTAAGTTTGCATATCCTCTGTTCTCTAGCAGCGTTTCTTTCACATCTTTGAAGTAGCATTTATTATACTCTCCTGACTTTTGTTTTTGTGCTGGTTTCCCTGCTAGACTGTGGGCAGGGGCTGAGCCTGGGGCTGAGTCGGTGAGTATTTTCATCTCTGCCTCTTTATGTTTTTGTTTTCGGTGAGAAGATTGGCCCTGAGCTAATATCTGTGCCATTCCTCCTCTATTTGTATATGGGCCGCCATCACAGCATGGCTTGATGAGTGGTGTGTTATGTGATCCGAACCCGTGATCGGGCGGAACCTGTGAACCCTGGAGCGCGCAAACTTAACCACTGTGCCACTGGGCTGGCCCCCATCTCTGCCTCTTTAAAGAGGTATGAAGTAGGTACCAGGGACGATGGAGGTAGAAGATGAAAGTGAGGAAAAAGAAGGGACTTAGGGAGAGAGGGTGAGACTAGCAGTCATTTTATTGGCACTTCCTTTGTGCCCAGACATTGTGCCCAGCGCTTTAGACTCATGTGATCCTTTTGGCAACCTTAGGAGGTAGGTATTATTATTGTCCCAATTCTACAACCGAGGCACAGCAAAACCAGGCAGCGTGGGCAGGTGGTAGATGTGGGATTTGAACTCATGTAGTTAGGCTCCGGGGCTTTAACCCACCACACAGTGGTGCTTCTCAAGTGCACTGCATGGAGGAACAAGAAAGTTGTGATGAGAGGAACATGGTGGGAAAGATGAGGGGAGGATGAAGGCGACAAGAGAGGATGGGGTTAGAGAGGAGAATGGAGGTTAGAGAGGATGGGGGTGGAAGTGAGAAAGGGCCTGGAGGCAGGACGTGAGATAGGGATAAGGAGAGAGGAGGCTGTGAGGAAGGGGTGGAGATGAACGAGAGGGTGTGGGACGTGGGATGTGGAGAGAGGACGAGGCTGACCAGAGCAGTCCTCCTAGGTGGTGTCATCATCTGTGTGGGCACTCCATCCAGCCTGATGACTTCTCAGTTCCTTCCCCTCTCATCTCGAACATTCTTCTCCATTCCACCTTAGCAAGCCACTCCCAGGGTCATACGGGAGCCTTATCATCACCAGAAACTGCAGCACCTATGAAATAACTGAATCAAACATCCCGCTCTCTGATATGATCTCCTTTCCTTATGGTTTGTTTGCTCAAGTCGCCTCGCTGCAGCTGTTCTGCGAGTTCATTGAAGAACCACTGGCCCTTCTTGTCTTTTCATCTCTCCTTACCGGCCTGAGGTTCCAGGCTCACCACTAAACCCCTCCTTTGCAAGTGCCTTCAACTCCCCTTCCCAGTCTATCCTGCCCATCCCACCTCCCTGGGGAAGCCTCAAGCCCAGATGAACCCAACATTTGTCTCCTTTACACTTGCTCCCGAGCAGCTAGGGGCCTGCTGAAGGAAATCACCCGGGAGGACAGACTGTTGTCACTCTGAACTGTCATCATCGACTTCAAATGGGCACCCCAAGTCAAAAATCTGAGCAATCAGCTCTTGCACTCGCAGCAACCAAGATTTTACTGAGAGACCCTCAAGCCGCCTCCTCAGAGCCTCCTGCCCAGTCACTGCAGTCACTTCTTCCACGGTGAAGGGAGAAGCCAGCCTCACCCACTACCAACCTGTCTGCGTGTGAAGGGAGAAGCCAGCCTCACCCACTACCAACCTGTCTGCGTTTGTGTCTGTGTCGGCTGCCCTCCCTCCCTCCCTCTCTCCCTCTCTCTCTTTCTCTCTCTCTCTCATTAGGAGAGGACACGTCCTCCTTTGGAAAGTGTTCTTCCCACTGATGCTCTAGATCCCATCGGGCAAGATCTGGCCTCAGCCCCTCTCTGACCTGAGCTCTGCCCCTTGGTCTAGTCTGCCCCGCACCCCAGCCTCTGTCAGTGACCAGGAAGGACCTGCCTGGGGCCTTTGCAAACACTTCTCTCTCTGCTGGGAACCTCCGCTTTTTGACAGACTGACTCCGACTCACCTTTTAGATCTGCTTATATGTTCCTTCCTCAAAGAAGCCCTTCCTGACCCTCACACTTGAATCAGGTGCCCTTGTTACTCTCTGTTGGTCACCCCTGTCCTTTTGCCACACAGCACTGCCCAAAATTTAGAATTATGTATTTGTCTGTGGTATTACGTTTGTCTGTCCCCCGCGTGAATCAGTAAGCCCCGCAAGGGTAGGGACTGTCCTCCTCCTTTATCCTGTAGCTCCCATAACGAGCAAAGTGTCTGGCCTGGAGTAGGTATTATTAAGTATTTTTTTTTAGCAAATGAATGAATGAATGAGTGTGGTGAGAAGGCAGGAGGGAGGGGAGGGAGGAGGAAGGGTGAGGACGGGAGATGGAAGGCGAGGAGAATGGATGGTTAGTGAGGGGAGAGGATGGTAATGAGCACAGTGTGCAAACGTGAGGTGAGGGATGGAGGGGAGAAGCGGTGAGGGGAGGATCGGGCAGCAGGGGTCTTTGCGCTGGGCCTGAGTAAGGCTTCCAGACCCGAGTGGGCTTCCCAGGAGCGCTGTCTCCTGGCCACGCCAGCCAGCGAGGTTTGAAGGCAGAGCCGGTGGGCGGGGCTAGACTTTATCTTGGGGCGCAGCCCTAACCTCAGATGGTGACAGAGCTCAGCCAGCAGGGGTTTTGCAAACCGTCCCGATTGCAGCAGGATGGCTGTCTCACTCGGGATGGCGGGTGGGGCCTGGGCTTATCTCCCGAGGACAGTCCTGACCTCAGATAGTGACAAGGCGGGCGCTCGCGGGCGTTTTGCAAACCGTCCCGATTGCAGCAGGGTTGGATGGCCTGGCCAGGGGTGACAGTGCTAGCACTGTCCTGGGGGACCACAGGGGTTTGGAGAATTTGGGGCGTCGGGGTGAAGCTTGGCTCGTGGGGCTTGTGGGATTCATTCTATGTACGGCTCGCCTCTACCTACCTCAGATCTCTGTTTCTAAGAGGAGGGAGGCTGCACTCTGCCGGCGGGTCCCTCCCTGCTAGGAAGCCTTCCTTTTCCCAAGTCCCAGGACCCTTCCGCTGCTCCCTAAAGTCAGAATGAATGGCCAGTTGCAGCCTTTTCCTCTGAAAATACCCACAGGGTAGCCTCGGGGATTTCTCATGCACCATGAAAGCTTATCTGAGGCCAGGCCAGGTTGGACCATTCCCACTTTGGAGTAGCCCAGGCTGAGTCCTGAGAGGAGAGGTCTGTCTGCTGGGAGCTAGCAAGGGTGCCGGGAAGTGACTGGCCTGTTGAGGAGGAGGTACAGGGCCCTTAGCCAGCCCTGGCTATTGTTGCTTCAGCATCTCCTATGCAGCCCCCTCCACCCCATAGTCCCCTCATTGGCTTGGGGCAGGGTAGGGGATGGAGGTGAAGAGGCCCCTTTCCACCCCCACAACCCCAACCGGGATCTTGCAACACTGGGATGGGGGCCCTGGGGGCCCAAGAGTGTGGCAATCATTGGGGGCGGGGGGGAGGTGTGCACGGAGTGGGGGACCGGCTTTCACAAGCGGCCACCGTGCCGACTGACCTTGGCAAACTCACCTTGGGCGGCTTCCTCCCTTCCGTGGTGTCTCCAAACAGCCTTCCTTCTTGTCTGCTTCCCTGGGGCCCAAGATCCTGTCTCTCAGCTCAGGACTCTTGTGCTGGTCCCCAGTTTTGCTCATGAAGGAAAAGTGGGCCCGAGCTGTGGATTCTAGAACACTAGGAATGCATGTGTGCTGTTTGGACCTTGACTTGCTGGTTTTCCAAAGTGATGGTGTCCCCAGGCCTGGCGCCTTTCCCCAGGCAGGGGTGGGGCTACTTCCCTGCGTGGGGCTCCTTCCCTCTGCCATCTCCTCTCCCTGCAGTGCAGCGCACTGGGAGGAGGGGTTGTGGTGGGAAGACTGCTCTCCCTCCCACCCCAGCTTCCTAGGGCCCGGCCCCCGACAGAGGGAATGAGAAGAGTCCTTTGCCACTGTTCTGGAGGAGGGAGGTGTTTGTCATGCTTATTCTTCTCCTCCTCCTCTCCATCCAGACAGCCTCATCTGGCTTCCTTTCTTTTTGTTGATCCCCCAGACTCCTTAGGGCTCTGCATTGCTCCCCCCTCGGCTCACCCTTGCCCCCAGTTTGGCACATCTGCCGCCTCCTCGAAATTTTGTAGGTTTCAACCTCCTCAGAGAGGACTTCCTTGACATCCCCAGCTAAAATACCCTCCCTTCCTGCTTGTTTATTCGGTTTCCCTGATGGGTGGATTCAAGTGGGGTAACTGGTGACTTTAATGAAGGTGCTTTATAGAGTTGGGAAGGAACAGGATTAAGGGAAAGTGGCAGGGAGTGGTGAAGTGGGGCAGGTGGCCATCACCATCCCGGGCCTTAAGGGCAGGAATCCCGTGAGAGGAGAGTACCTGTCCTGTCCAGGACGGGTTGGGGGATAAGCACCCAGCTTCACTCCCCTACTGCCTTCCCCTGGAACACGGCAGGATGACCAATGGTAGAGGGGATCTGGAGGGGCAGAGGAAGACCCCAGTGTGCTTGCTTGTTGCCTTTTTCTTCCTACCCCTTCAGCTAAGAGCTGGGTTTGTCTCGGTCACCACAGTGTTCTCAGCACCTCGCAAGGGCCTGGCGGAAGCAAGATGCTCAACAGATACTTGTTGAATATGTTGCTTTGGCCCAAACCACTTAAGGTCGGGTTAAAAGCCTCATCCAGAAAATGTGACCTCTGGCTACCTGTCGCCTCCCTGGGATGTGATCTGCCACAGAGGATAGGGGTGTGCTCGCCACCCTGCGTCATGGGGGACCAAGCATGCTCTTCTGGAACAGTGGGGCCGTGGCTCTTCTCCAGACCTGGAGCTGGGCACCTGCCCGAGGAGCCTGCGGGGAGGTGGGGGCTGGCAGGAGACACAGTTCAGAGCTGTGGGAAAGAAGCTTGAAAATAAGTCAAGGGGCAGTGGTCTTGAGCTGAGAGGAGGAAATCCGGAGGTTGAGTCACTTACCATGTTCTGTACAAACCCCCCTTATGCAACCCATCCCCTGGGCTGAAAGGAAGGTGTGGGATTCTCCCAGGCATCCACAGACTGGCACCTCCCCCTTCCAAACTCTGGCAGCCCAGGCAGGTGAGGGAATAAACCATCTAGTGAGGTTCAGATCTGTCTGCCCAAACCAGACCTGGGGCAGGGGGATCCAGGGCACAGATGTAGGAGAGATGACGCCTGAGAGACATGGAGGCAGAGGCAGGCAGGCATGGTGCACACGGATGCCCAAGATGTGGGAAGGCTGTGACACTGGGGATGTGGAGACAGGAGAGGGAGAGAGAGGCCTGGGAGGATCCAGACCCCAGTCTCTCTCCCTCTCAGAAAGTTATTCCTTGAAGTCTTTCCCAGCGTTGGCCCACAAGTCATTGGTGGCCTAGGAGAGACTCTAACCAGCCCGTATGGTGTACTATGTCTCTGACTCTGTTGGCAATTCCTGATTATTTATTGAACAAGATTCGTGTGCACCCGCCTGCCTCTGAGGGGGGGGTGTGAGCACCGAGTTGAGAGACAGGTGCCGGGTGTGAGACAGCAAAGGGCCTGAGTGAGCTTCAGGAGAATGTCTCACCGGCTCTGGCCCTCCAGGGCTTTATCTATCAAATGTGGCTCACACTATCTTGCTCGTCTGAGGGCGAGCCCACTAGATGATCTCTTGAGGTCGCTTTCAGCCCCTCTTGACATCTGTGATTTTAGGGAGCTAATTTTGGTCCTGCCTCAAACCAATCGCGTCCCTCCCCCTCTCTGAGGCCTCAGTTTCCTCACTTGCCAAACGAGAAGTTTAGATGAGATCTCTGAGGTCTTTTCAGCCCTCTAAAATTGGAATAACAACAACTATGCCTGCTTACACAGGCCGGGCCCTGTTTACCTATGAACATAACAGCACTGTGAGGCAGGTGCTCTTTCGCCTCCCATTTTGCAGATGAGGAACCTGAGGCACGGAGAGGAGTAACTGGCCCGAGGTCACACAGCTAGTACATAGCAGAGGGAGAGTCAAACCGAAGCTCTCAAGCACTGAACTCTGGTGTCCCTCAGACTAGAGTTCTATGGAAAGGTCAGTGCTTTGAACGTGGGGGTTCACTGGCACAGGTGGTTGTCATCCTCCTCATGATCAGTTTTCTCATTCCCCAGCCCCAGGGGATGAGGGACAAAGATGGGGGCGAGTGCGTGGGAGCCATGGGGGGATATCAGTCTGGTGGACTAAAGCTGAGGAACTGGAGAGAAGGGATCGAGTCCTGGATCAAGAGCTAAGGGACCATAAATATGGCAGAGCCATCTAGAATTTTCCCTTGGTCACCTGGGGCAGGAGCTCCCAGACTTATACCTCAAGGTAAGAGAGCAGGGCTAGGGTCAGCAGGCCTGGCATAGAGGACTGGGTGGTGCTGGGGTCTCCCTGCAAGCCACAGAGCTCCGTCAGGAGAGTATCTAGAGGCCACTCCAGGTCCTGTGGGAGGTGGGGGTGGGGTTGCCTTCAGTGTCCAGAAGGACAGAGTGGGCCGGGGAAGAGGGGAAGAGGGGGAGAGAAGAGCAGAGTGACAGACACCAGCCTGGCCATGTGGTGTGTTGGTGGAGAGCTGTGGGCAGCATGTCTGCTGAATATTTGGGAATATTCCTGAATACTCATTTGGGCATGGAATCAATAAGTATGCACACCTAGCCACATGCATTCCCCACCCTTGGAGTCCCCCATGCCACACATGCAAACACACACACACACACACACACACACACACACACACACACAGGCCCAGTGTACAGCCCCAGCACTGAGTCATGGTGCAATTTTATTCAGCCACAGAACCATCACGCTGGGGCCTGCCCTCCTCCCTTGCCACCCGCTGCCGTTTGTCCATGTCTGTGTCTCAGGCTCGGCCTGTGAGGGGCTCTAGGACCCCAGCAGGGTGGGAGTTCCCACGGTCAAACTGGGCCACGGGGCTGGTGCCCACAGTCTGCCAGCCGGGCTTAGCTGCAGCCCCCAACGCCCTTGATGAGGTTGGCGGCCTCAGGGATCTGGCGGAAGAGGTTGCGAAGGGTGTCCAGCTCCTGGGTCAGCTGTTCCACGCGGCTGCGGAGCCGCTCATTCTCTGCCATGTACTCCAGCACCTTCTGCTGCGTCTCCAGAATGCGCCTCTTGGCCTTGTCCCGGCTCTTGCGCACAGCGATGTTGTTCCGCTCCCGCCGCAGCCGGTACTCCAGGCTGTCCTTGTTCACCGCCTTCTTGCCCTTGTGCGAGGGGCCGGCTGGGGAGGGCGCTTTGAGGAGGGGGCTGCAGGGCGGCGCAGCAGCGGCCAAAGGGGCCTGGAAAGGAAGACACAGAGGGAAGAGGTGACAGCTGGGCGGCAAGCAGAGTGGAGGCAGGGCGGGAGTCCCAGCAGCCGGAGCACTCTTGGGCATCAAAGGGATATGGGGTTCAGAGCAGGCTCCTGGCTCCCAGTCAGGACAGCCAGTGCCCTGCCAGATGCAGAGGGTCCTCTGCTCTGACTCAAACTCCTGTCATGTTCCCACACTCTCTGAGGACACTTTCTTTCAATCTATCTTGAGTCTCCAGTTCTACGATCAGCAGGCATTTCTTCTTCTAGAAGCAGGAGGCAGAGAAACAAGAGGAGTGCAGCAAGCTGGTGGGGGGCCAGAGGTCAGGGCAGGTCAGCTGGCCACAAGGGCTGCAGACATGTTGGGTTCCAGCCACATGGTGAGGTTTGGGGTGGGAGTGAATTCACAGAGAAGCAAAGAGGGGTCGTGGTTCGGTGGTGAGCACGGAGGGCTGTGGGGAGGGTAATTTCGCTGAGCAACACCAAACACAGACCCGTTAGGTAAGCAGGGAGCTCAGAGATTCCCCACCCAGAGGGGCATCTCTGCAGCCCCGGGCTGGCAGGAGGAGAATTGACCTGTTCTTACCTTGAGGACACGCAGGGGCTGGCTGGGTGCCGCCAGGGCCGGGGGCAGGTGCATGGCCGTCTGCCCACAGTGCGCCACTTGGTACTGCAGAGGATTGTAGCCGCCGCGGCTGGCCCCTCGACTGCCCTCTGGCCCCCGAGGCTCCTCCTTCACGGCCACAGCCCTGGGGTCGTAGTTCCCTGGGCTGCTGTAGATGCCAGGCCCCAGCGCCTTCCTGTCAGGGCCGAAGGTATGTGGGGGGTAGGCGAAGGGCCGCGGGTCAGGCGGCAGGTAGTGGGGGAAGGCAGGGGTTCCGGAGCCCTTAAGGCCTCGGGCCTCAGGTGCAGGCTTCACAGCGAAGAGGTCGGAGAGGAGCTGCTCCTCCCCAGACTCGATGTAGGCGGAGAGGTCGATGGAGGCCTCATGCTCACACATGTCCCCCAGCTCCCCAGGCCCTGCTCGGCCCCCTGAGAACTCGAGTGGCTGCTGGCCAGCCCGGGGCTCACACTCGTAGTAGGTCCCGTGGGACATGCCGGCCCGCCCCCTGGGCTCCCCGCCCCCGCCGCTGTGCTCTTGGGGCACGCTTTGGGATGCTCGGCCTGCCCTGTCTCGATCTCCCCCTGCCCTAGATCTGCTCTAGATCTGCCCTCTCCGATCTCCTCTGTCACCCACTCCTGTGTGGCCTCTCTCCTCCCTCCTCTGCTGTTTCCTTTTCCTTCCTCTGTAGTCAATGCTTCTTTTCTCTTCCCTTTTTTCCCCTCTCTCCCTGGGCTGACTCAGGGAGGGGCAGGGTGTACCCCGGAGGAAGGGATGCAGGCCTTAGAGCAATGGGGCCCCGGGCCTATTTAGCAGTTGGGGGCACTCTGTGGTCAGGGTCCCAGCCCGGGTTCTGAGATGCCCAGGAGCTGATGCTTCTGGGAATGCCTCCCCCTCCCGTTGAGTCCAGGGGATTCCAGAGTCCTCGCTGAGGGCAACACCTCACTCTGAGTGTCCTCCTCCCTCTGACTTCCAGAAAGTTCTGTGCAGAATGAGGTGCCAAGTCAGAATGAACAGAGAACACCCTCTTCCAGTGCCGACCCCCAGCCTGATCTGAGCTCCTCCTTTGACACGCCTCCCTCTGGGTCCCCCGCAGTGCGGGGCTCCACCTACCCCCAGGGGCAGCGAGTTCCTTTTGTAGCCCCACCTCCAAGGGCATTCTCCTGGGTGCAGGCCAGGGATGTTGTTTGGGGGGTTTAGGAAGCAGTGAAGGTTCTGGGACCAAGCTCTACAAGGGGGCCTGTACCATGGTGCAGAGCATGCTCATTTGCTCAGTTTTTGCACAGGGCCTGTGCAATAGCCCAAACCCTCACATGTTTCCAGCCCTGGCCAGCTCTAGCAGTCTGGCACTGTCCCTGACTGCCTGGGCCTGGCTGGGGTGCCTGGTCAGGTCTTGGGCCCTGTGCCCCAGGCCCGGGAAGCCTGCTGCCCCAGGAACCGACAGCTGCACTCCTCTGGTGGCCCCAGTGCCTCCCTCTTCCAGCTGCCCTGCACTGCTAGAGCCTCAGGCTGGCACTCTGCCCTGCTCTGGTCCTGAGGCTCTGCCCCATTTCCTGTGCCCTGGGCCGCAGGGCTCAGGCGCTCTGCAGCTTGGTTTGCTGTCTTTCCTTCTGCACGGCCGTTCTCTGACCTCGATGCGTGTCTCTTGGTCCACTTCCCCTTGTGAGGCTTGAGAAGCCTTCTCTTTTGTCATCATCTCTTCCTGAGGCTTTGTTTCAGGGTCTCCAGGAGAAGCCCAGGGTTCACTCTGTACTTTTGCTCTCCTGCTGGGCCCCCTCCCTCCTTCCCTTTTCTTTTTCCTCTGGGAAGCCCCACTCCCTCCTGCCAGAGGCACCAGCTGTGGCTCTGATTTCACCTGTTGAATTTCATTTACAAAAGGAACTCGAGGTCCAGTGTAAAGGACAGGACACATAGAAATGTGTCGTTGGCTCTTTTATCACCAGCAAATGCTGTGAGGGCCCTGCGGAGGCCAGAATGTTTTATAAGTCGGGTACGCCAAGGCCAGGCCCCAGCCGGGCAGATGCAGAGGGGATATGTGCGGCGTTGAACGCTAAAATAAAGTCTGCAAGCGTAGACAGGGCCGCCTACAAGTCAGACTAGTTAGCATCCTCCTTCCTCCCTTCCTTCCCACCCCTACACCTACCCCAAGAGCTCTCTTCGCGGGGCTTGAGCTACTTTCTCTGAAAGCCCTGACGTGACGTGGGGACATCTGCGTGCATGCCTGAGACGGGTCTCAGGAACCAGATGGGGAGATTTCTACCTTCTCCTCATTTCGAAGGACCCTGTGGCAAACAGGTACCAGAGCTGAGCTACTTGTGTGGCGGCAGTGCCTCTTTTGACCACCAGGTGGCAATATTGGTCCAAAATTCAGGCCCTGAGGGGCTGCCATGGTCAGGAATCAGGTGGACGGCAGAGGGCAGCCTCCCACAGCCCTGGCCCGGGCAAGGCAAGGCTGGGCCTCCATGGAGGAGGAAGAAGAAACATGGCCAGCATGGGGGCTTGCGGTGCAGTTACACGGAGAGTGGGCAGGTTGAGAGCACTGGGGCCAGGGCCTTGTCTCAGTGAGGAGAAATTTTATCCCCTCCTCAACTTTGAAATAGTGATGATGGTTAAGGCCTGGCATTTTCTGGTGTTATGCTTCTCCAATCATTGAAACATACTTTTCCATGCTGACCATTTCCCTGTGCGTTAAATTGGAAGGTAAGCAAAAGAGACGGTATTTTTACCCCTACCTTATACACGAGGAAACCAGGCTGAGCTGCCCAAGGTCATACAAGGATGCGTTGATCTTGGGGAAAAGGGCAGTGCCCTAGTTCTTGAAACCTCCAGGCAAGAGGGGCTAGGGAGAGGGGGAGCTGTGTGACTCAGAGAGCCTTCTGTGCCCTCAGTCACCCCCCCAACCCCCCCGCGGGGGACGGGGAGACTGCGTGGACAGTGATGCGGCGCTGGAGGAAGCAGGGAGGTGTGCAAATAGAGCCGGCAGGAAATGAGAAAGCTCGGCCATGGAGATAAGGGATCTCGGTCCCTCATCTCCAGGCTGGTGGCTGACGTTGCTGGCGCACTGACATCAGTGTTTCCCAGTAACCGAGGAGTGGAGAGTGTGGCTGGGCCAGCGGCGGGGCTCTGGATGTCGGGGGCAGGAGAGGAGGGGGCACTGGACAGGAAGCGGGTGGGGAGGGCAGTGCCAGTCCAGGGCTGGGGGAGTGTTGGGGATTCAGGAGCGGAAAGAAGCCCTCCCTGGTCAGCAGGATCCTCTTCTCCAGGCCACTGCTGTTGCTACCTGTTTGCATGAACTGGAACAATGCCTGCGTATTATCTTAGTGACTTTGGGACAGGCCTCAGTTCAAACACCACCTCCTTCACCAAGACTTTCCAACAGGGAGGGGGTGAGCATGGTGGTGAAGTATCAGAACTGGGGTCAAATCCTGCCTCTGTCACTTACCTGCTGGGTGACCTTGGGCAAGTTACTTAATCTTACATGTAAAATGGCGGTAGTAATGCCTACTTTGTCCTGTCGTTGAATTAAACTTTGAATAAGATAATGTATGGAAAGCAATTGGTCTCAGTAAATGTTCAGTCTCCTTCCGCCCTTCCTCTAACCGCCCCTTGTGGTTTATCTGTGTCTCCTACACAGAAACACTCTCTGCAGCCTCTTCTGAGGCCTCCATTTGACAAGCGTTTTTTTTCATACATGTATTTTTGACTTTTTTGTGTGTGTGTCAGGAAGATTGGCCCTGAGCTAACATCTGTTGTGAGTCTTCCTCTTTTTTCTTTTTTGGTGAGGAAGATTGGCCCTGAGTGAACATCTGTGCCAATCTTCCTCTATTTTGTTTGTGGGTCACTGCCACAGCATGGCTTGATGAGAAGTGTTGGTCCGTGCTGGGAATCCAAACCTGTGAACCTGGGCGGCTGAAACGGAGTGTGCCAAACTTAACCACTATGCCACCAGGCTGGCCTTGACAAGCGTTTTTGAGCACGTAGGTACCAGGCACTGGGCAGGCTCTGGAGATCAGGCAGTTCAGCCCCACCTGCAGCAGCTCACAGCCCAGCTGGAGTGGATGGTCAGTGATGCTGTGAAGTGCACACTTATTTACCACAGGCCTTCTTGCCGTCTTTCCCCCGTAAACTACTCCCTCCCTGAAGGTAGGGTCAGATACATTTTTTGGACCTCTTCAGCTATGGTCACCATGTTGCCTGAATTAAAATTAAGGACAGGTGGATTGATACAAATGAGTATGCTTATGGAGACAATGGCACAAAATATTTGGAGTCTGTGATGATTTGGAAAATTCAGGGATAAGTTTGCTATTCTTACAGCATATAGCAAAATCCTTGGACACGTGGTTATAAAAAGATGTGTTGTGTGACTTTATTAATAAATGAATGCTTAAGCAGCTATGATTTCAGCCTCCAAAAGGCTCCCAAATTCCCTAAGTTCTGAGCATCTGAATTCCTAGCATTAAAGTGACTGACAGGGTTAAGTCAGGGTAAAGGCCCAGGTTAAAAATAAATGCATGTTGCCCAGGAGGAAACCCATATTTGCCCATTTGACCAGGTTGAAAAGATCAGCAAGTGTCACCTTACAGAGAGAGGGAGGGGCCCCAGGGACAAGTGTCTCCAGGGAGTGAGAGGGGAATGGGGAGAGAGGGCTGGACTTGCCGGAATGAGGCCACATGGAGGAGACCTCAGGCAGCCCAGGGATAGGAAAGTGTGTGTTGGGGGAGAGGGGTCCCAAACTGTGGACGTGGGGTAGAGAAGGGCCTCCTGCACAGGACTAGCTCTGCCCAGTTCTGCCCTTGCTGTTTTGGGACAACCTTGGATTGGGGGATTGAGGAACACTTTGAGATTAGGTTCAACTCTTCTTTTTTTCTCTCTAAAAGTGCTAAATAGATGAAGTGACTTGCCCAAGGACACACAGCTGTTCAGTGGCTGACCTGGGACTCAGAGTCAAGTGTCTGTTCCCCTGTGAATGGCGAGCCTCCAGCCTTGGTCTAGAAGAACGCCCGTCACAAAGCAAGAGGGTTGGGGCCGGGCCAGGACGGGACTGGAGGCATCTTGCCTGCCTGTGTCCTCACAGTGTCCCAGTTGGTGGAGGGTGATGTCTTAACACCCCTTCTGTCATGTCTGTCAGCGGTGCTGGCTCTGGAATGATGCCGTCCCAGGACAGGCGGCCCGGAGGGCTGCCCACACAGGAGGGACTCCAAGCAAGGCCTGGGGCTAATCCCTTCAACTTCCTCCAGCGATTACCCCAAAGCACCAGGCCAGACTTGTCCCTCCCTTAACTACTTCCTCCTTTGTCCTCCTAGTCTTCCACCTAGAGATCTTCCTCCTGAAGGCTCTGTACAGCTGTGTGGATCCCCCTGCCTCCCCTCCCTGGCCCTCCCATCAAGCCGTGTCGACCCAGCTTGGCACTCTCCTAAGTCCCCTTCTGGGTCTTTCCACAGACTCAGCCCCTCCCTTCCTTTCTCATTCAGCTGTGGCTGTCCTGGTGCCAGCAGCCTTTGCTGATGGGCCTTGGGGACCACCTCTGCCTCCACCTCCCTCCACTCAGCTTGATGCTGCCTCCTGGTTGCCTAGGTCCCCACCTTGGGGAGTGACGAGTTTTCTGCTTCCCAGCTAGTTTGCAGGCTCTCAGCACAGAGCGGGAACTCACTAACACTTCGTGACTTCACAGAAGAAATGAGAGCAAGTTTTTGGTTCAAAACAAAAGGGAGCTGTTTGAAGTGCTATCACTGGGTCCCTGGGACAGAGGGAGGGCCCTGAGGAATGCCATCCTGGAAGGAACCTGGCAACCAAAGACCTCCTGAGGGCGACCGGAAATGCCTGGCAACTCTGTCTCAGGTCATTGAATTATCAACACCACCAACTTCATTTCCATTTTAAATTTTATTACATTAAAAGAAAAAAACAAAAGCCCTCCACAAAACAAACTAAAAAACCCCCCTAAATCCTAAACCAAAGACAGAGATTATTATCCAGGTAGAACTAACCCCCTCCCCCCCAAAACAACCGTACATTAAAAAAATCCAAAAGAAATAGAAACGCCAGCTTCAAAAATATTTATCCAAAAAGTAAGGCATTCACTTTACTAAAAAACAATAATGGAAGGAAGGAATGAGTTTGGAGGAATGAGAAGAGGGAACAAGTGGATGGTCCCCTGAGCCTTCAGGGGCCAGCCCCAGCTTGCCTGGAGTCCACTCTGAAGGGACCATAAGGTAGACCAAACCAGCATCTCACCAGCGCGGGATCAGGTGTCGGGGCCGGAAGCTGGGAGGCCGGAGCTAGCGGTCCTGGAGGGCTCTCTCATTTTCCAGTTTAAGCGGACAGGATGGCTCGGCTTTGGGATAAATTAGTCCTTAGCGCAGCAGGTGAGGCAGGGAGGCTGCAAGGCCCAGGGCAAACACTGGGCCGTCCTCCGGAGCACAGGGAAAGGCAGCCTCTGCCTGTGGGAGGGCCAGAGGTCCACACACGTGAACGACCGAGAGCCTCCAAAGGGGGTGGCTTCTGCTCCTGCCCTGGGGGCTGTCCAAAGACAGGACAGTGGTGGGGCCAGAAAGAGGAGGGGTTATCTGAGGGGGAGGGGGAGGAACTGGCCTTCAGAATACACTTTCTCCCCCAGTAGAACCCGAGGTTATGGGATGGGTGCCTCTGGGGGGTGGGAAAGCTCCCTCCCGGGAAGGCTTTTTATACCATGTTTGTCCTGAGGGTTAGAAATAAGGGAATATTTTTAGGTCCATTTCTTGGATGGGAGGCGACGTCAGGCTGATTTGGCTCTAGTTTCAGGCCTGAAGGGCTGGGGGAGACTTCACACGGGGTGGAGGGTCGAGAGAGGAGGGAAAGGGCAAGAGGGTCTGCCGGCAGTGCTGGCTGCGTGGGGTGTGGTGGGGGCTTAGCTGCAGGGATAACAGGGTGACTGCTCCCTCCGGTGCGGGTGCAGAGGGAGGGGAGCTGAGCTGCTTTGTCATCAGGAGAGAAATGTCCACTACATTGAAAATAAGAAGGTTTTCTGGCTGCAGGAAGCTTGGCACCGAGGTGGGGGCAGGATGCAAGTGGCAGGGGCATAGCTGGGTCTCTGCAGTCTGAGCCGCTCCCCATCTGCTCCACAGGCCCGGCTTGGAGCTAGGAGGAGGGGGCAGTTCTCCTGCTATTGGTCCTTAGCTCAGGGGAGAGGTGGCCTCCTGACAGGAACCTTCCTCTGGACAGGGAGCCCAGGCTGGGGTGGGTGGAAGTATGGCAGGGTGGGGTGGGGAAGAGGGCAGAGGGAAGCATCGCCTCTAATCTCTTGGGTCTCTCCAGCTGACTTTTAATGGTGACAGATTTGCTTGAGTCTGTCCCTCCCCAACCAACTCGCTGTTGCTGCCTCTTCTCTGGAGCTGAGGCTCCCTTGGGCTCAGGAGCGGGGAGGGCAGGCAGTACTGAACTCAGGTTCCTGAGGAGGCAACTGAGGGTGTGGGCCTGGGGGGAGGGCCTGGAGGGCGCCCCTGCAGTTCCACTCTCCTCTAAAGCTCCAGCGTGGGCAGCCCTCTGCACACAGGCCCTGGGGGCGAGAGGCCGGTTCTTTGGGTACAAATGTCAGTGTCTTTGTTTATAGTTTCTCACCACCCACACCCAGGTCCTGCCCCTGCTTGACAGAAGCAGAGGGGTGTGTGTGTGTGTGTGTAGGGGGGACCCAGGCAGGGAAGGAGGGCAGAGAGGGGGATGAAGGAGGGAGGAGGCAGCTGAGAGGGGCTGGTGGTCCTCAGGGCTGGGGCTGCTCCACTGAGTCCTTGCCCTTGGAGGCAGTGGGTTGGCAGATGGGCTGCCGCTGCTCCTCCATGTCCTCTTGTATCTCTTTTGTCCCCGAGCCCCCCTCCGCCTCGGGGTACACAACCACACACAGCTTCTGGCTCACCAGGGTTAGCAAGTCTGTGGGAGGAGGTCACAGAATCCCGGTCAGTGCTGAGCATGCCACCAACCCGGCTGACCAGGCCCTGGCCCTTCCCAGGTCTCCTGCCTGTAGAAGATTCCCTTTCCTGGAGACGCCACCTCCCCTGCCTCCTGGCTCTCAGGGCCTGTTTGCGGGCTGCCCCTTTCCATCAGGGCCCCCGTCTTCCCCCTTCCCCATGCCCACTGACCACCAATGCCAGGCTCTCCCCTGCTCTCCACCCAGCCCAGGCAGCTCCTGCAGGATGGCTCTCAAGTTGCCTGTGCTTGCAGGTCTAAGGTCTGTGTGGAAACGTCAGCCCTTCTCCTCCCCTCAGAGGTCTCTGGCAAGGTGCCTGCCCCTGACTCCTCCAGAGCTCTGTGGACCAGCCTAGGCCTCCTGGTCCTGGTGGGGCTCCCCCGCCAGACTGCTGACCACTCTATCCCAGACCAGGAGGCCCTCTCACCACCCAGAGCCTTCAACTCACCAATGAAGTTGTTGAAACACCTGGGCTTGTGTTGCCAGTAAACACCCAGGAAATACACGGGCACTCCTGTCAGCATGATGGCCAGGCCGATGCCACACACCACGGGCTCCGACCACAGGCTGAAGACCAGCAGGAAGGCCCAGAACAGCAAGTAGATGATGGGGAACAGCAAGTTGATCTGTGGAGCAGAGGCACTGTTAGTTGTGTAGACCCCTTGGCCCTCAGGATCAGGGCATCCTCCCTCTTCTTCACCCATAGGGAAGCATCTTTGAGGGCAAAGGCTGGCCTTCCCTCAGCTCTGTGGCTCCCACACCCTGAGCCCTGATAGGGCAAGGCTATGTCAACAAATGTTGGTGAACTTGGGCAGTTGAACCAGAAGGGGCGGGGGACTAGGGAGAGGGCGACCCTCATTGCCCATCTCCTCCCTCCCGGGCAGGATCAAACAAGGCCTCATCATCCATGCCGTGTGCCTGTGGCAGCCAGAGAAGCCCATGGGGATTGATAAGCTTGCCAGTATGTTGGCATATACCTGCTGAGGTCCCAGGGTGGAGGAGTGGTGGAGAAATGAGTGAGGGGCAAGAAGGAAAGGACCTGGGTCAGTCAGACTCCCTGCACCTTGCCCACTTCTAGGCAGGGCCCTCCTCTGGGCACAACGTGGCGAATATCCATCCCTGTCACAGGGATCAGCCTCAGTTTGTTTCTCTCAAGCAATGTGAGAAGATAATTCTGCCAAGACCTGAGGAATCAGGAAACCTAGCACAGAATAAGGCAGCTCAGGGCCTTGACTCTACTTCAGAAGGAAGCATCAAGGCTATGGGCTTCATCCCTTCTGGTTGACAACAGGTGGGAGTTCCCAGTGGAGTCTTCTTCAAGACTCTCGATTCAGCTGCCTTTCTCCTCCTTGTCCTCTCCTCTCAGAGGGTGTGAACGTGGTGGGGAGATGGGGTTATTCTACCTCCTCTTTCCTCCGGCAGGCTTTCTAAGAGTGGTAGGAAAGTGCCCGTGGAAAACAGAGATTTGGAGAGCCCTCGATTCTTCAGCTGGAAGAATCTTCTAGAAGTATCTACTCTCTTCTGTTTCCAAAATAGGATTATTCAAATAGCTCAGGGCTATACTCTAGTCTTCTAATTTGCAGGAGAACCCATAGCACTCTAGCATATTTTGTTTTGAGCAATCTCATCCATTCCCATCACAGAGTTATTTTTTGTAGCAATCAGTAAGTTGACTGGGTACTCTACTATGTGTAGGGCTACAGGAGTTTGAAAAGGTGGCTCATGGAGGGCTGGAGTGGATTGGGAAGCTTCAAGGAAGAGGCGATGCTTGAGGCCCATGTGGGATAGAATTCGGATAGGTAGATGAGAGGAGGAAGCTTATTCTGGGATGGAGACATAGCACAATGAACCCAGCTCTCTGAGGGACAGGAAGAAGACTGGCCAAACTAGAGGGTCCAGGGAGATGCCAGAGAGATAAGGTAGCTGGAGTTTAAGACAGAGTCTTGGGGCTGGCTCGGTGGCATAGTGGTTAAGTTCACGTGCTCCGCTTCAGCAGCCCGGGGTTCACGGGTTCGGATCCCGGGAGTGGACCTACGCACCGCTTATCAAGGCATGCTGTGGCAGGCGTCCCACGTATAAAGTAGAGGAAGATGGGCACAGATGTTATCCCAGGGCCCATCTTCCTCAGCAAAAAGAGGAGAATTGGCAACAAATGTTAGCTCAGGGCTAATCTTCCTCACCAAAAAAAAAAAAAAAGACAGAGTCTTATGAAACAAAGGAATGATGTGATGAAAGTATTATTTAATTTAACTTATTCCTCCAGCTGCAATTTGCTCTGGTCCTGTCCCTAGTGGAGAATGGAAGTGACTGCCCCCTTCACACACGGCCCTTGTTGCCCAAAGGGTCTGCTCCCATCATAGAGACGATGACCTCTGGCCAGCAGCTGAGAACAAGGAACTTAAAAATCTGATCTGTACCTAGAACCAGCAGGGGCGGGGGAGGGGACCCTAAGGGAGGTTCTCGCACCTTGATGGGGCGGGGCATGTTGGGCTTCTTCCAGCGAAGCACTATCTGTCCAGCAACTGTGACCCCGTAGAAGAGGTAGTTGATGAAGCCCACGTAGTTGATGAGCGTGTACATGTCGCTGGTGACCAGCATCAGGAGGGTGGAGATGCACTGTGGGGAGGAGAGAAGCTCATCAGCGATCAGAAAGGTATTCAGAGACAGGAGGAGCTGTTCCCAGGCCAGGGAGCTGTTCTCTGGATGTCTCAAAATGGAGACTCCACAGCCTCCCCTGGTAACCCAGGGCGTTGCTAACACCTTCATTGCCAGGAAGTTTTTCTCATTGCAGGGGTGATAATCAAAATATTTGACCACTGGTATGGCATGGGCCATACTGGCTGCAAACACCTGGATTAGTCACACTGGTGGCACCTGGCTCTACGTCAGCCCCACTCTCGTTTGTATTTCTCCCTTGATTGTAGCTCAAGCTAATTTCAGTTTTTGTTTTTTTTTTAATTTAATTTATTTATTTTTTCCCCCAAAGCCCCAGTAGATAGTTGTATGTCATAGCTGCACATCCTTCTAGTTGATGTATGTGGGATGCGGCCTCAGCATGGCCAGAGAAGCGGTATGTTGGTGCACGCCCGGGATCCGAACCCGGGCCGCCAGCAGCGGAGTGCGCGCACTTAACCGCTAAGCCACGGGGCCGGCCCCTAATTTCAGTTTTTATCCCTTAGGGAAGATGGTTAACTGCAGATTAAGGCTTTATTCTTGCCCTCATCCTCTCTCCTGGCTGAGTCATCAAATTTATTTTTCCTCCTTCCTTTTCTTTCTTTTTTTAAAAAATATCATTAACAGTTATATAGCACTTACTAGGTGCCAGGCCCTATTCTTAGCATTCTACAAATACTAACTCACTCAACCCTCCTAACACCCCTGTGACGTTTTCTTGATAGGGTCCACTTTCCAATTTCAAAATCATCTCAGAGGCTCTCGCGGAACGCTTTGCTTCCTCTGCTAATTTGTTAAGGCCAATAGAAGGTTCAGTTCTCCTGTGAGATCTGATGTGAAAATAATCAAGGCGATTTTAAGGGATGAATAAGCCAGATTCTTACTGTACTTGCCTTGCAGTCATAGTACTGCACAAATGGCTCAAGCTGAAAAGAAGTTTGTGGCCCACTAGGAGTACTGAGTCTTCTTCAGTCGCCTTCACAACTAACCAATCAAAATGACCTTCATCCTGTATCCGAACGTTCTGAAATTCCTCTAATGTTGTCCAATGAATGCCCTTGACTTCTGAGAGCTCTACCATCCTAGTCTAACTGCTTCTCTGGTGGACCAAAGTCATTTTCTATGTTTTATTCAGGATCTAGAAGGAAAAAAAAAGTGACTCAAAAGACTCAGTGGGGACAGGTCTTTGCTCCTTCTTTTTGCTTTCTCTAAATGATTCTACCCTGGGGTCATTCTACCCCCATCTCATGTTTCTTTTTCTCCATTTTCAGTTTACCAGTCTTCCTTTCTTTATGATTTTCCTTATTTGGCGTGCCCTTAACACTGAATTTGTTTCAGTGTTGTTTCCCAAGAGACTGGCAGAGCCTGCTCAGGCAAGAAGATCCATGGGGATGGGGGGTGGGGTGGGTGTGGTGATCAGCCAGGAGCAGAGTCCTAAAGCTGCAACCCTGGGACAACGGGTGCAGGGAAACCGAGAAAGCATAAGTTTCCTTGTGAGGTTGTAGAACCTTAAGGCAGCCACTTTGGTCTGACCCAAAAGGATGGAAGAATGGAAATGAGCCAGGCTGAGATCCTTAAGGTGTTTCAGGATTCGAGGTCTTTCCTTGCTAAATCTCGATATTAATAAAGCCCATGTACACCACTTGCCAGATTATCTAAGACCCAGTGAAATCTAGGAGCAGAGCAGAAGGGTGACGGGGCACGTGTGGGAAGTGTGAACTCCCAGCTCAGACAAGCACCAAGAGGGAGGAGTGTGCAGGGCTGGCAGAAAGAGAGGCCCTTACTGTGAAGAGCAAGGCTGGGATCGGGGTGCAGCGCTTCACATGGATCATGGCCAATACGCTGGGAAGGTGGCCCTCCCTGGCTCCAGCAAAGAATAGCCTGGCAGAGAGAAAAGCAGGTCAGCCTGGGATGGCCCACCGGCCACCCAAGGAAGCTCCCTCCCAGCCTGGCTCCCTCTTCCACGCCCACCTTCTGCCCACACAGGAGCATCTGCCCTCCACCCAGATACCCGCCTTCTCGTGCACACCTTCCAGCCCACTAGTCACAGGACCCACGTTCACGAGTGCAGGTGCAGGCAGACCAGAGGCAGCCAGTGGAGAAGTGGATGGATCCTGGGTGCCTGGAGACCTTCAGTGTGGTCTGGGTTGTAACCTCAGGTCTGGCCTGGGGTTACTGATGATTGTGCCCCCATTCTGTGGGTCTCTTGCAATGCCTAGAATGTGGCAGAAGCAGCCTCTCTCCTTTGCCTGAGGCCTTAATCCCTTAAAAATGTGCCTCCCCCATCCTCAAGGGATATAGGTTCTTTGAGACACGGGACTGACCTGTACAAGAAAAGCCTTAAAAATACTCATATCCTAGTCAGGAGGTAGTTGCCTCTGCGGAGGTGGACCAGACGGGGACCTGTGGGAACTTGGGGGATGTGTGGAAATGTTCTCTATCATGTTTTGGGTGGTGGTCACATGGTTGTCTCAATTGTCAAAACTCATCAATCTGAACACTTAGGATCTGTGTATTTTATTGTATGTAAATTATATCTAAAAATTTATATCCTCAAGCTACTTATTCTATTTCCAAAAAGCCATCCTAAACAAATGAACGGAGAGTTAGTGAAAGGTGTACATACAAAGATATTCTGATGATACAAAAAGATTGGAAATATCCTAAATGCCTAAAAGTGGCAGACTGATTACATAAACTGTGGTATATCCATGAGATGGAATATTATGCAGCCATAATAATGTCTTTGAAAAAAAATTAATTATATGAGAATATGCTCAAAATATAACATTAAATGAAAAAAGCAAGATAGAAAGCTGTATGAATCCATACAGTATGATTCCAATCAATTTAAAAATTATTTACAGGCATGTAAAAACATACATTAAAATACCAACTGATTATCTCTGGGTAGTGGGATTATGAGTAATTTAAATTTTCTTCCTTAGGCTTTAAAGCAAAATTTTAAAAATTCTAAAATAGACAGAAAATTCATAATCAGAATAAAAATTATTTTTTAATTTAAAAAAATTAAAATTTTTATTTTGAGATAATCGTAGATTCACATGCAGTTGTAAGAAATAATACAGAGCGATCCAGTGTATCCTTTACCCAGTTTCTCACATTGGTAACATATTGCAAAACTGTAGTACAACATCATGAACAGAATATTAATGTTTAAAAGTCACTTTTGAAAAGAGAAATTTTAACATAAAAAGCAGCCCTTCTTCCCCTTTTCTCTCCTGAGAGAAAAGAGAATACTATAAACTGCTAGGAGTCATTTACATATTAGTGTGAATTACATCACTTCTTCTTTTTTCTAGGATTTTGTAGGGAAAGGAGCATGTCAGGGGTAAGAGGAAGGGGATAGTGTAATGGGGACAGGAAGGCACTTACTTTGTAATCTGTGAATGGGGAAGAGTGGAGCTAACAGCGGCAGCTCATCAGAAGGGTGGGAGTCGATTATGGCCCCAAGTACCCATGAGCACCACCACCAGTTGGCATCATCAACTACCTAGGCGAGTGTCTCTAGTTTCATGCAGCCACATGGCATCCTCTACAGTGCAGCCTCATGCATCCAACTGAGCCCCAGGTGCTCTGTGGGCCTCATCATGCACATAGCCAGGGTCCCGCATTCACATCCCTTCTCCACATGCAGCCAGGACCAAGTGTAATTGTCCAGGCCCAACAGCATTTGCAAGTGTCAAATTCACAAGAGACAATTCTTGCGCGGATAGCCAACAACGAAAGAGACAACGACATTAAGCATGACACACATCCACACATACTCCTACTCCTCATAAGGATCATCCTCTCCATAACCCAAAATGCAAAAAAGTGAGAGAGAGAAAGAGAGAAGGAGGGAAGAAGGTGGAAGAAAGGAAGGAACTGGAAGATGAGCAGAGGAGGCCTGGTGGGTGAACTGTGTCTCTGAATCAGAGGCTGAACACACCATGGCCACCATCTCCTGCATGCACACACAGCTATACTGCATGCATGCAGACCACTGCTTGGCCTGCCCAAGGGACAAACCCCACTCTAAAGTGACTCTAGCCAGTCACTGTCCTCCAATAGATCCCAGAGAGCCTCATGGGTCACTGCTCTTCCACTGCTCGCCCTCGGCTGGGGCCTCCAGGTGGCCACTGCTCCTGTGTAACACGCACATAAGGTTGCTGTGGGTGAGTGTTGTAGGGTCCTGGGATACAGAGGACACCCACTCCCTCTTTCCTGCCCTGGGTCCTGAAAACATGGCACTTCTTTGTCATTTCACAGGAACTCCTTCCTGATGTAATGGTGGCTTTGGAAGCAGCTAAACTCAGAGACTCACTTCTTTTGCTGTATCTTTCAAGTGCCCTGGGGGCAGGAGGACTTTCTAAGAACCCTGGGAGGACCCCTTGAAACACATCAATGGAAATCACCCAATATCTGCTGGCCTCAACAGCCCATTCTGGAGACAGCAAGAAGGGTCACCAGGGAGGGGCCAGATTCCTGGATGTGTGGAGGCAGGAGGAGACTTCTGGGCCCACTCATGCTTCTGGTTTCCCTGAGAGTTTTGGGTGTGGGACGTGGCTTTGGACAAATGCTTTCCTTCCGCTCCTGCCCCCCTCTCTCACATCACATCCTCCACTCAAGTCTCATGAGTGGCCCCTGGAAGACCTCCCACAGCTGCCTGTCTATTGAGCAGGGAGGAGCCCGCTCCTGTAGGGTGCTCAGAGATGATGCTGTTCCACCTGCAGTCTGCTCCCAGAACTTTTATGGGAGGCCAGTCAGAGGCCCCAGGCACAAGTCCCTCCTGTCCCTTTCAGAGGGGTTCCTTTCTAGCCAGCACAGTCTGTTTCCAGGCAAATGGAAAAGGGGCTTTGGGGCTGCAGCTGAGACTGCCCTGCTGCCAACCAGCCCGGGACCTGGGAATGCGTCAGGCAACCTGGGGCCTCCTCAGCTCTCTGCTCCTATGGAAATGAAGTGGGACGGGGCTTCTCGCCACTACATGTGAAGCCACACACATCGTAGGTAACCACGTGAGCAGCACACACCCCTCTGTGTCCACACCGACACATGCACGCCCTCACATGAGCACTCACCTCCTGCGAGGTCACCACCCAGATGCCCACACAGACCCCGGCTGACGGAGACAAGCCCCCCACATATACACAGAGCAGTATGCACAGCAGAGTGGGCCCTGGCCAGGGAAGGGCACAGACAGCACTCACCGGGAGGAGGTGAAAAGAGACCCATTGACTCCTCCAAATGTGGACAGGGCAACGGAAATGGGCATGATCCAGGCCATGACCCCTAGGAGCTTCTCTCCGAAAGTCTGGGAGATAAAACAAGGGGGTGAGCGGAAAAGGAGAGGTTACGACTCCCCACCTGCACGTCCCTGCTGGGAATGTTCCCTCCCATCCCCAAACTTGCTGTGTCTCTCTGGCCAAGCTCCTGGAGAGGACGGATGGCTACTGGCCCCTCCTGCACCACAACCGCCCACAGTGATGACTACACAGTGGGGATTCAGAAAGTGTTTTGTGCTAATTAACCAAAGGAGACAGTGTAGGGGGTAATAATAATAATAATAATGAACTAACATTTGTTATCCTTGATTTATGGATGAGGAAATTGAGGCACGAAGCGATTAAGTAGCTTGCCTAAGATCACACACCCAGGAAGTGGAGGGCCAGGGCTGGAAGCCAGCTGTGGGAGTCGAGGTCTCATGTGCATTGTACCCTTTCCCTGCACAGTGAGGGGCACAGGCTGCTGAGCCAGGCAGGTTGGGGCTCAAATCTTAGCCCAACATTTGGAGTTTTGAGACCCTGAGCCAGGTTCTTAATTTTTGACCCTCAGTTTTCCCATCTCTAAAATAGACATAAATGCTAATTCATAGGGTGAGAATTTCTAAATTCATAGAAACAGATAATATTAGGGGGAAAATGATAAGAACAAGCCACCATGTAGGCTGAGAAAGAAAACATGGTGAAGCTCTAGACTAGTCTTCATGTACTGAAGGAATATAAAAGTCAGGGGCCAGTCTTTTCCATATACTCTGGGCCAAGTACACACTCAGTTTATAGCCCATTACAGGGGAGAGGGTGTTTAGAATAGCCATCCTGCTGGGGAAGGCTGGTGGTCATGGGAATAGGCTGCCAGGGGACTCTGGAGCCTGTTTCTTTACAGTCTTCAGAGGTAAGACAAGTGATGACACTGTTTGGCAGGGTGACATCCTGGCCCAGTTGAAGCCAGGTGAGGGAGCAGCTTAGCTCCCAGGTCTCTCCCAGATGTCAAGGACCCCCGTGCCTTGGACCTGCATGATCTCCTTCCCCAAAGGGCACATACCACTCCTACTTCCCAATCGCTCACTGGCACACACTTTTCCCTGATGAGGGAAGGAGCCAGATTGGTGATTTCCAGAGGAGGAAATGGAGGTAGAGAGAAATGATGCGTCTTGTGCAATATTATGCCTTTCTGAGGAGGAGCCTGTCTCCTTTACATGATCATCGCATTTGAAGTGTTCTAGATTAGGAGTCAGCAAAGCTTTTCTGTAAAGGGTCAGACAGTAAATATTTCGGCTTTGTGGGCCATGCGGTCTCTGTGGTAATGATCAGTCCTGCCGTTGTAGCTGTTCTAGGTGCCACCCAGCTGCCAGTTTGCTCCTGGGCACCTGAAGGTGTGGTTTCCACCCTGAGGACTTGGGAGGACTTCCGATCCCACAAATCCATGGATCAGGGAAAAGTGAGTGGGGCTAAGCAGGCAGGTCTAGGTCAACATTCCTGGTTTGAGGGACTGCGGGTGGATTTCTTACCACAGCGACTGCGTTTGATGCCAGCAGCTCCTGGGGGGACATTGCGGTGACATAAGCGACATTGGCAAAGACATACACAAATGTGACCAGTGGGATGGAGATGAAGATGGCTCTGGGAAGGTTCCTGTAGAGGGAGAGGAGGTGAGAGAGGGAAGGCCTGGCACCGGGGACCACCAGCCTGGTCGTGAGGTCCAGGGAGGGCCTTCTGTCTTTCTGCACAAAGCTGACCTTGCAGCTTTCCGTGGTGCTCCCTCTCTGGGGGGATGGATTTTGTCTCACTATGGGCAGGATAATTTAAAGGAAATGAAACAGCTCAGATGGGAAATATGCTCCACATCTGTTGATCCTTCCTGAACAGACTCTCCACAATGCGCCCTGCCCCCTGTCTCAAACACAGACTGGCCTGTCCCAAACAGGTGAGTAAGATGCCCGGAAACCTCTCAGGCCGCATTTCATGCTCTAAGGCAGGGCTGTTATCTCAGCACCATTTCCAGCTTTTAACCTGCTTCGGGACAATCACTGGATCATTTTTCTCCTCCTGGCAGGGTGGGTGGCAAATGGTCTAATTTCCTGGGAAGTGAACTATTTCTTCAGGATAAACCAAGTCATGGTCAGAATGGGGGCAGGGGGAGAAGTGGCCAGTGGACACCAGGCTCCCTCTCTCTTGTAGCAAGTGCTGTGGCCTTTCAAGGGATAGAGGAAGAGCTGGGCTATTTCAACTCACTTGTAGGGATCAACAAGTTCCTCAGTCACGTAATTAAGAAAGTTCCAGCCTCCGTAGGCAAAGGAGCCCTGAAGGAAAGCCAGTGCGATGAGGCCGATGTTGGGTTCTCGGAAATTTGCAAATGCGTTCTTTGGCTCCAGCCAGAAGTATTCTCCTGTGGACACAGGGGCAGGAGGCTGCTCAGAGAGACGAGGCAGAGGCCCGGCAGCCGCTGGCCTGCCTGGTCCCGTCTCTGCCCCTCCCTGCAGCAAGGACCCAGCTCTTTGTCTTGTCTCCAGTGAACCCCATGTATTGGAGAAGTAGGACCAAAAGGAACAGGGAAATACAGGTCCAGGACCTCCCCAAACCTGGTAACCTTGAGTCCAAATGGGGGTTCAGGTTCAAGGCACAGTCTGAATGTTCCTCTTTTAAAAGGCAACATTACTTAGAAGGAAAGGCCTGGGGGGGCACGGGACAGGGCAGGGTAAGTTGGAGCTGGCTTGCTGAGATTTGGAGACACAGGGTTAGGGCCACTGGCAGGCTCCTGACCACCTTCCCGAATATCTAAGTTTGTACATTTTCACGAAGAAAGCATCAAGAACAAACGCTCAAACATAAGCTTCCATAATGCTGTTTTTGTTCAAGCTTGTTCTGCTTTCTTTGTCAGTATCCTCCTGTCTCTTTCTAAGGTGTGTGTATGGTCTCCCTTTTCATGGTGTCGATTATCTGTGAACAAAGAGCTTTTAGACTGCCTTCCCAGCCCTGAGCACAGTGTCCTGCACACAGTGGGCCCTCAAGAAAGGCTGCTGACTCAGGGAGGTCGTAATGAGATGCAGATTAACTGCCCATACTTTATTTATTCATCTGTAATCCGGCATTTGGACAGGAAATAAGGGCATTAGAGTGATTAGGAGAGAGCACTAGGACCATATCAGGAGGGACTCACTATCTTTGAAAAGATAGCACAGTGATTTCCTTAAGTCTAAATTCCTGAAAAGAATATGACCTGCTAAAGAACTTAATCCAACAGATTAAAATAATCAGGCACATTATATAGCAGAAACTTAATTGTTTCCTGGAGTAAAAATCCAGGCAGTTCACACTGCCTTCAGCGCTTGTGGCCAGGTGGGAGGTCTCCCTGTTTGTCATCTGACTTTCTCCAGGGGGTAGGGACACTGGGCAGAAGCTGGCAGCGCTACGGGTCCCATGGAAACCAAATACAGACCTGGGCTTGGAAAGGATTAAATCCAATGGGGAATGTTGGCAGGGGCCCCAGGAATGTAGAGCTCTTTTTGGTAGAGATTACGAGTAATTTTGAAACGTATAAAATCTCCTCTGTCCCCCATTTTAGACATGGACAAGATACATATAAGATGCAGGGAGTTCTCCTGAGGTTGAGGCAAGAGGGCAATAGGAGTCCAGAGATCTGGAGTCTTCACCTAGATGTGTTAGAGCCATGAGGTCAGCATGGGAGGATTAAAATCTGCAAATTAGGTGGGGCATGCCCTACTTCCTGGGGAAACAGTTTCTCTTCCCCTTTGTCAAGCAAGTGAAGAAGAGAAGTCCTTCAAGGCCAGAATTGGGAAATGTCCGGGTGTGCACTCATCCAAAGGCAGTGTGAGGGTTGTGTACAGCCAAGGGGTGGAAAGTTGGGTGGGGCCCTGTTGTTCCAATGACACTCACCTTTGCAGATCTGTACAACCCCCATGATGATGATCAGGGCCAGGGCCAGGAGCTTCCCAGCTGTGAAAATGTCTTGAACTCGGGTGGCCCACCGCACGCTGGAACAGTTGACCCATGTGAGGAGCACTGAAATGACAGACCCCCAAACATATCCTCAGGGGCCACAATGAGGCTGCAGGACACCTTCTGCAAGAAACAGAACTGCTCCTTGCTCCTGATGATGGGATTGTAACAGGCGAACCCAATATCCTGCAAGCTCAGCCCCCGTATGCAGAAACTTTGGCCAGGTTAATGGGTTACAAATGGGGATTATGTGCCACAAGTTAGAGCTTGGTCAGAACATGCCCAGTCCAGGGCTGGAAGCCAGAAGTAGGCATGGAAGTGTGGGCACCTTCTTTGGGAGAAAAATCAGCATCTGATGAGGGCGTGAGTGTGGGCTTTGTTTTCAAGTCATTGTATGTTCAAAGGGAGACCTGAGCAGCTGGTGGGATCCTGGATGTCATCTTCCTGAGCCTGATTTTGGGGCAACAGAAGTTTAGGGGAACCTTTTGTTACTTAGGCTTATTGGGGTATAATTTACATACAGTAAAATTCATTTCCTTAAATGCACAGTTTGATGAGATTTGACAAATGTATTCAGTTGTTTAATCACTACTTCACTCTCTATGTGGAATATTTCCAACATTCCAAAAAGTTCTTCTGTGCATTGTGTTCCTTTGAGGTCAGTCCCCTTCCTCTACCTCTAGCAACCAGTCACTTGATTTCAGGCCATATAGTTTTGATTTTTCCAGAATGTCACATAAATGGAATCATACAATACATAGCCTTTTGTATCTGGCTTCTTTCACTTAACATGATGTATTTAAGATCCACTCGTGTTGCTGTATGTACGAATAGTTAGCCCTTTTTATTGTCAAGTAATATTCCATTACATGGAGCTATCAGATTGTTTTTCCATTTGCCAGCTCATGGACATTGGGTTCCTCCTAGTTTGGGGCTATTTTAAATAAAGCTGCTATAAACACTTACACAGAAGTCTTTGAGTGGATTGTAGAGGTCTTTGAGCGGGGTTTTCATTTCTTGAGTAAATGAATACCCAGGAGTGGGATTCTGGGTCATATGGTAAACGCATGGTTAACTTCATAAGACACTGCCAAGCTATTTTCCAAAGTGGCTGTATCAGTTTTCATTCCCACCAGCAATGTGTGCGAGTTCCTGTTCCTCATCAATATTTGGCATTGTCAGCTTCAAAAGTCTGGCTATTCTAATAGGTGTGTGGTGGTATTTCACTGTGGTTTTTATTTGCATTTCCCTAGTGACTAATGACATTGAGCATGTTTTCGTGTGCTTATTGGCCACCATCCCTATATCTCCTTTGGTGGCATGGGGCGCTTTTAACTCTGTCTCATTTCCTAGGAGTTACAGGGCTCCCAAAGAGATCCCAACAACGTGGAACCTCCAAGGGCTGGAGGAGAGCTCAGAGGCTGAGCGCTAAGATGGAGGGACCCTCTGTTTTACTACCACACTCCCTAAGCAACCCATGGGAGTCCTGTGCTGTAGGAATGGGACTCTCAATTTCCTGGTGGTTATGAAGTGCTTGAGAATAAAGCGGAAAAAAATTAAAATCCTCTTGCTTCCCCTTCCCTTGAAACGGTGACCAGGACACCCTTCAGTCCTCCGAGGGTACAAGTCATACACGCAAAAGCATGAGACTCTCTCTCCTCAGGCCTCTAAGCAGGCTTCTGACTTCACTTGAGTAGCTGATCAAGTTATATCACTACCTTATCCTGAAACCGTGCTTTTTCTTTCCAAGTATCTTCCAACCTTACTTGTCTCTGAGAACGTGTCGGCAGGGAAAGGACCTGACTTGATTATCCACCTGTAACCTACCTCCCTGCGCCATTTCTACCTGGCCAACTCCTTCTCATCTTTCAAGATCCAGCTCAAATGTCACCTTTTCTGTGAGTCCTCATTAGTTTACTTATTCCTCACAATGTGCCAGCCAGGTAAGATGTATCAGCCGTGCTTCATAGACAAGGAACCAAGTTTGGCCCTCTTCTCTACTCCCAGACCACTTTGTTTATATCTAATTTTGGCACTTATTTCTTTATATTGTAATTATCTCTTTCTTTTTCTCTGTTTCCCTGTGACTTTTCCATGTTTTTAATCCCAGGGCATATCACTGGGGCCTGTAAATAGTAGGTACTCAATATTTAATACTTCAATAAAGAAAATGCCCCAATTCGTGAGCCCCCCAATCTCATCTCAGTCTACACATTCCACACTGCACCAACCTCCCGTGCTCCCCAAGAAGCTCATCCAAAGGAGGCACGACCCCCAGTTAGTTTCACAGAGCGAAAAAGAACAAGAAACTTGACTTCAAGAGTAGCAACTCTTGACTCCTCATGGAGGAGCTGTTATCCAAGACAGTGTCATGTAAGGAGAACCAAAACATGTTGTCAGAGGAAGGATTTTTAGTGCCTGAACAAGGAGAACATTTTGTAAATACTCGAATGTTCCAGATGGACCAAGACGTTCTGATAAATACACACTTGGTTTATCTTACTCAATTCAATAAAGATTTCAGGATCACATGCTGGTGACAATTCAGCCCAAATCACTCTAAGCAACTGGGCCTGTGATCTGGCTTCTCCCCAGCGCCCTGTGGCATGCTAGGTGCGAGGCTGGGCCCCTGGGCCCCAGAGTTCAGGCAGACACAAACAATAATGACTCAAGGGTAAAGGAGATTGATTTATGAAAGGAAAGAAGATTAGAATGCAAAACCCATGTGGCTCAGGGATAGGTAAGGATTACAGAATAAGGAACTGATCTTGATCTCAGAGAAGAAAATTATCCTCCATCAAGGAGAGGAGAGGACAGGGCGGGGAGGTGACAAGAAAGTGCCTGGAGGGAAACAGGGCAGAGCAGGACACCCCAAAGAAAGTCCTCCTCCCTCAAGCAGGAGGAGGAATGTGGCCACCTCCCTGTGTGCTGGGATGGAAAACACAAAAATCATCTCCTTACAAAGGGACTTTGTCAAGGCAGCCAGAAGGACTCCTTCATTTGGTCCGCTCCACAGTAATCCTGAGGTTTGAAGGGACGGACAATTTGTCAAATAAACTTGCTGTGGGTGTTTTCCATCTCGCCTGAGCTTATCTCACAGCTTCACAAGAACCCAGCCCTTGACTAATATTTAACCTTTCACCTTTACAGGGATCTTGGAGAAATAAAAAAGAGAATTCCTGAGAATAAGGCGAGGACACAGGCTGCCCAAGACACTAATCTCCTCAGAACAATGGCTGCCGGCCCCATGTCTGACCCTTTACCCCCGCAGCTGGGTGATCACAGCATGTGACTGAGGGGAAAGAGGGCACTTTCAGTCTCCTGCTACCACAGGACAGCTTCCCTCACAGCAGGCTGAAACCCGAGCCTCCGTCCAGAGAGGAAAGGTCACCGAGTGAAGGCAACAAGCCCAGATGCTTGTGGAGGCCCTGCCCAGCTCCAGCGTTCTACCTCTGCCCGTCTGCTTACCAGTGCCCCTTTCTGTTGCTGACGGCTACGTCCCCTCTCTCTTCTCAGCCAGACCCTGAATTCTGCATGCTTGGGATACAATGACCTCAGGGAAGCCACATGTAGATGGGGACCAGTGGCCACTGCAGCTTGAAATGTGAGGGTTTTCATCCATCATCCATCCATCCATCCATCCAACCATCATCTACAAAGGGCCTACACGTGCTAGGCACTCTGGTAGGTGGGGGAGTTGCAGATAAGACACAAGTCCCTGTCCTCAGGAATTTGACAGCATAAAGCGGGGAGACGGGTGAGCTAAAAGATGATCACAAAACAATGTGGTGACAGCAGAGCCTTCATGGAAGCTAGCGAGCGTCCATGAGGAGCCCCGAACTCAGCCCACGGCAATCAGAGATGTTTCCTACAGGGGGAGACCCTAGCAACAGGAAGAATTTTATAATTTTGGCCCAGCTGGACACAATAAATAAAAAGGCATACGACTGGTTCTTGTCCATTGTAATGTGCCTGGTGGGGGGCGGGGGCAGGGTGGTTGCTGCTTCTCTACAGGCCCCCATTGGAATCCCAGGCTTATCTGTATTTCCTGGGCATTTTCTCATCTCTTTCTCTTCTGTTTATTGGGTAAAAAAAAAAAAAAAAAAGGTGAAAAGACTATCAAGAACAGGAGACTTCAAAAAGATGCTGAAGTCAGGGGTTGGTTACTTAATCTGCCATTTGAAAAGCTTAACGTCAAGGTGATAGGAGGGATACAAAATATGAGGCAGGCAGGGGGAGGGGACTCAAAGCCTAGAGCCCAGGGCCTCTCAACTGCCACGTAGGAGAGGTGGGCTCAGTGCTTCCTGCCGGTGGGAAAGCTGCAGGACTGGCAGAGAGATGCAGAGTCCTTGTCAGATCAATAACAATGCAGATCCTGTTGCTGAGCCGGAATGTGTCCACTGTGGCGGGGGTGGGTAAGCTCCCGCTGCCTGCAGAGAAGGTGCCCCTAGCTTCATCCCAGCCCTGATCCTCAGACTCTGATCCCTGGGGAGTCACAAAGGCCTGTCCTTCACTTCCTCCCTCTGCCAATGACATCAGAACTCCTGGGAGCTGTGGTAGGCAGAATAAAGGCCATCTCAAAAATGTCAACGTCCTAATCTTGTGAATATGTTACCATACACGACAAAAGGAACTTTGCAAATGTGATTAAGTTAAGGATCTTGAGATGGGGAGACTATCGTGGATTATCTGAAAGGGCCCAATGTAATCTCAAGAGTTCTTATAAGAGGGAGGCAGGAGGGTCAGAGTTAGAAAAGGAGATATGATGACGGAAACAGAGAAAGGGAGATATGACGATGCCGTGCTGCTGGCTTTGAAGATGGAAGAGGGGCCATGAGACAAAGAATGTAGGGGGCCTCCAGAAGCTGGAAAAGGCAAGGAAACAATTCTCCCCAGAGCCTCCAGAAGGAACATAGCCTTGCTGACACCTTGAGTTTGGGATTTCTGACCTCCAGAACTGTAAGATAATAAATCTGTGTAGTTTTAAGCCACTAAATTTGTTGTAATTTGTTACAACAGTAACAGGAAACTAATAACAGGGCTAGACACCGTACAGAAAGACC